ATTCTTAAAATCTAATTACTTAATTTTTAAATGTTTAAGCAATTATTATTAAATATTTAATTTATAGTCAGTAAAGAAACAAGAAATTTCTTGACTATTTTTAGAGTGTGTTTCAATAGATTTTACTTACAATTGGAAAATTCTTCGATTAAAATTACATTGTACTGCGGTGTTGGAAAATTCATTATAGGACGAATGTCTACGAATGGAACAAAAAAATGAGTTCGGTAATTCATTATTCATTTCGCTTCTACTCTTTCCATTGGGAGGAGAATAATGTTCTAGGACAGAAGCAATTTGGCAACGTTAGTACTTGAGCCTACCTAGACCGATCAATGACGCAATCAATCAATCAACGATTACAAGAAATAGAACTTTCCGATAGCAATAATTTTTTAAAATAAGATACGCGTTTCTAAAACGTTTCCTCTAAAGAATTTCATTCAAGATTTGGGATAAGTAATTAAGTTATAAATTCTTAATTAATAACTTTGGTTATTTAAATATATTTGATAAAAAGTGTTATCGATTGATCGTTTCTAAATCGTCGTTGTGGTGCAGAATTATTTTTTTTAAAAATCTGTTAAAGAAAGTAAATTACTATAATCCTTGTCAAACAAAATTGGAGTTATAGCGATGATCCGCATATAATGAAACATATGAATCAAATTTAAAGCTATCATAATTCAACTCTGAAGCTTTGTAATTTTATACGCAACCCAAAAGACAAAGGGTAATCTTGAATCAAGCATTTGGTCAATATCGCCTTTGTAAGAAACTTTTTAAATATGCGTTTCTGTAGCCGTATGGCTAGAAAACTTTTAATTTGTGATCCGTCTTTTACAGTGGATATTTTTACTTCATTACGATTATGATTCTAAAAATCTATTTATGTACATCACCATAGATTCGCTGTATTAAATGTTCGAAATTGGGAGCATTATTCCTGTGCTTGCTTAGCTTGTCTCTTAAAAACTTAAAGCAATAAAGTTACGATATCAGCAGAATTTTCGAATAAATTGTTTCCTTGGGTTCAGTTTTTCATTCAAAAATATGCCACCCTAGTTCGATTCAATTTTTTTTTTAAAGCTCAAAACTTAGTTTTCTAAATCTTTAAAAAGTTCTTATTTTGTAAAAATAGTTTTTTGAAATGTGTTTCACACGGAGAATAAAAGTTTTTTTCCCTTTAAATCTGAAAAAGGAAACAATATAATATTGATTGCTTAATTAAAATGCTCCTCATTTTCGGAAAAATATTTGAAATTCTAAAATATTGCATTTCTGCTTAGATTTTACCTGTTTCGAACGATCGTCAATTAGAATAAATATTTTTCGCTTTTTAATATTTTGTATTTTCACTTTTTAATATTTTGTATTTTCACTTTCTAATATTTTGTGTAAAATTTCAATGAACTCGTAACATTTTACTCAAAACGATTTCTAAATCATTAAAATCCAATATTAAATTTCAACCTATTTGTTGTTTTCTTAGCATTTTACTTATTTACTTTACATTTTAAATTCGAATCTTTTCTTTCTCCCCCCCCCCAAAAAAAAACCCTTTTTACTTTAACGAAATGAATTTTTTTCACAAATAAATTGAGATTTTGCATGGTATTGTCTGAGTTAGTTTATGAAATGGTTGAACAAATGGAAAAAATCGGTGTTTATAACTGTTATTTCCATCTTAGAACATAATGTTTGAAAGAATTTTTTTCTCATTCTCCTTTCTTTTCAACGGATTCTTGTTTCATATTCACCATTTTGTTTTTGGCATTGCGGAATCCAAATTGCTGTTTCAGATCGATTCATCTAAAAAATAAATTGCTTTTAAATAATGGAACGGAGCTAAAACAAAATTTTTCAGACATTCTAGACAGCGTCTGGATTCAACTATTTGCACTCAGCAAATGTATACTGCAGGGAATTTATAGGAACTGTGCGATTCCAAATATTCATTTATTTTCTTTGAAAGTTATGTCTTCCATTTTTATTTTATTCGAAATATTTACTATTTAAAATTTTTTATTTTGTGTAACATCTTGGCAGTAATCTTAATATGAAGTTAAAATGGCAGGTTGTCTCTTCATGAAATGTGATTAAATAATATAATTAAAATATGATTAAATAATCTGCTTTCAATTTACGAAAGCATTCCATAGGAAACTTGGGCATTTTTAAAACTGCGACATAATTAAGAAAATGCATTGATGTTTTGTTTTATCAAAATGAATTTAATGACAGATAATTAAAAAATAAATTTTTTTTTTATGCAGACGATTGTATTACGTGGTGTATTTTCAGAATCGGTTTCTTATGCGGACGAACTTTTGCTTTTCAATAAAATACGATTTCATGGCAACAGTTTCTAAATTGTGTGAAATATTAAAGACAATTTTAACACAATTCTCTTAAAAATTGAAGTTTACCTTGCTTTCAAATTATTCCCATTGCACACTATTGTCAGTTAGTTTCTCAAAACGGATAATAATATAGTTATTTTTATTTTCAATAATACTTCAAAGAAAAAAAAAATTTTTTTTAGAGCAAACGATTATTTGTGAAATTTTTCGAGATATTTTCTTCTTAATTTTTTTTTCTTCCTTTTTTTTTGCGGAATTTTTTTTAACCAATGATTGAGTGTGAACTTAGTGATTTCCGGCTTAAAACCACACTAATGTCTTAGCCGGGGCAGCTAAGATCCATTAAGCAAATCTTTTTCTATCCGATTTTATGGAAATGCCTTTGCTGTTGGCATCGAATCAGTTGTCAGGATTACGTGACTTCAGCTTTTTCTAATTTTTCCTACTCGAAGGAAATGATTCCACATTTCAGAGAAGGGTGTATTTTCCAATTTTCTTTTTCATTTATTTTACGCTTTTTCCCAGCCTTCTAAGAAATGCGCGTTCTCTCAAATTGACGTAAAAGCTACGTTGCGCTTGTTTTGGTATACATTTTAAATGGTTGCAGTTGCAGCACCTTTTCCCTTCAGGCTACTAATTTAACGGGGGCGATGACTCAGGCAGGGGAGATCCCTGCTATAAATATCGACTTTTCCTTCCTTTCGGAAAGAAAATCCTTTCCCGTCATTTGGCGATATGCGTTCTTTCCTTTTTAAATGTAGTTTTGTTAATTTGAAGTCGATGCTAATTAGTTTGGAATGTTGAAAACTAAGCCTGATATCTTAGATTTTTGAAATTATAATAATTTAAATTCTTGACGTTTCTCCAAATAATTTCGATTGATGTCAATTTGAAAGTCAAATAAAATGAGGAAATTATTTATATTGAATTGAATTCGCTTTGAGTATAATTAAAAATTTTCTTTTTAACTATTTGAATTTTTTTTAAATTTAATTTGAAAAAATTCTAAAGAGAGTCTCAATTTTTCTTTGTTATCTGCACCTATAAATATAATCTTATATCAATTAAGTTAAAGTTTATCTCGGGATACGAAATTTTTATATGAATATTTTGAAATTTTAAAAATGTAAACTTTTTTTAGCACATTTTTGACATGAATTAATATTTTATTTTTTCGCATGCACGAAAAATTTACTTCAGAACCCGAATGGTTATAAAATGGTAGTTTTAACTTGTAATAATTTTTTAAAAAAAATGTTCAATAATATTGTAACTAATGATTGAAATAAAGAAAAATTATAATAAAATCATTCATTGTTTTATATTTTGATTTCTTTTTATTTTCTCCTTAAACAATTAAAAAGAAAATACTCATTGAAAGTTTTAGTCACATTTTAAAAACTTTGTATCTATATTTTATATCAAGAAAGTTTACTGTGTTCTAGAATAATATTTTTGTCAATTTAAAGGCGATAAACCAGTTGTCCTAAAGCTACTCCTTGTGATAAAAGAAATATATATATATTTCCTTTGTTACTACTCGATTTTTTTTGTATATTTGGTTGCCAATCAAGATATTTAACGCCATTTTGGACTCAACATTTGAGCAAATATTCATAAAGCTCTTAAATAGATATTCTGACAAAAACTGCACTGTGATTTAGCATAGAAATAGTTTGCAATATTAGCATTAAAATAAGTTTAATAATTGATGTGACAATCTGAAGCATCTGGAAAATTGTGCTATGACATTACGTTTCTTCAAATAATAATAAAAAATAGAGTATAGCATTTTCTTTTAACATGGTTTTTCAAAACTCGGTCGCCAAGGAAAATAAAAAAAGCCGTAATTAAAGTGCCTTACACTTGGAGCAATACGATGGTTTTAAAATATATATATAATCTCTGCTTGAAGAATTATCTGGGCTTTAGAACAAACAAATAACTTAATTATTTTATAAGTTATTAAACTTTCTAAAAGTCGCCAATTTGGCGACATTTTTCCACCTAGATGAAAATTATAAAAAACACTGCCTTATTCTTAGTTTTTTCAAATTATTATGATCCCAAGTAATGTAGCATTGAAGTTAGTTTTTAAATATTAAAAAATTAAAACACAAACGATTTTTATTTTCACGAATTTATGGCTTTTCTCCTTATTGACGTATTGCTGCATTTTCAAAATAAACGTAGACAGCGCTGGCTTTAGATAGGCTAAACTTGACCTAAAGTAACAGTTGCAAACTCACAGCAGTTATAAAAATAGCATATAATACGCAAAAAAAAAAAACATAATTTCATATTACTACGGAGACTTCGAAAAACCGCCTTAATGGCGATCATTAATTTCCCCCTTTCAATAAAGCTTTTAAATAATCTATTGCTTCAAATTGTTACCTTAATTTGCATATTGAAATAAAATGGTGTTTTCTGCAAAGGAACTGCTTTATTTGACAAAAAATATGACCCAAAAAACAATTTGCGATAAATTTTGTTTATGGTTTTCTTTGGCAACCTTGAAAAGTTAGGAATTTTTTCCTGAAAAAGATTGGAAAATTTGCTCAATTTCTCTTTTAATGCTTTAAAAAGTGTTAAATATTTATTTCCTGTTTTAATGGAATTAACATTTATTTTCAGGATTTCGTGTAATTAAGTTTACAAGATGACAGAATCCGAACCTCCCCCACCTCCTGCACCTCCTCCTCCTAATGATGGTTTTTCCTCCTCTTTCTTTTCATCCCTTCTAGAAGATGAGGAGGATGATCGAGATGGTTTGATGGGTTGGTGTCAAATCGAAGAGTCTCACCCCCCTCAACACATTAATTGGAAACAGAGGTACCATGAACTGAAACGCTCTCTCGAGAGATTTCGAATAGAAACAGAAAAACTTCAAAGGTCACTACAAGAAAAGGTTTGTTATATTATTATTTTTAATTATTTCACTCGTTGGTGTAAATCAAATTAAGTTTTTTAAAAGAAATCATCAATTTAGAAATTTATAAAGCATTTCAACATGAGGTTGTTAGAGGTATTTATTGATTTTCAAATTCATTGTGGATAGATCACTGCTGTGTTAGTAATTTTCAATTAGCTGCATCACATTAGTATTTAGTAGTTTGTAATAAATTACAGCTCTTTTGAAATGATATTTGTTGCTGTTGTTGTTGTTGACTTAGCCTGTTAAGGCAGAGAGGTGCGATTGTTCTTGTTTTCCAGTGGTGCCATCCGTGACCTAGAATTCGACTTCTGCCACACCCATGCGTCACACCCGTTTATAGGGCGGACCCATTCATACATACATTCATTCATCAACAGACTGTAATTTTGACCTGAATCAGAGAACGATCAATCTCCAATCCAGTACCCCCAGAGGTATTGACTTGTTATTGGAACATGGAGGACTTGGTGACTCAACAGAGTTAACGTGCACCAGTCGTCATTTACTACACGGCGAGTCTTCGGTAGGCGGGGTTCGAACCCATGAACTCTCAGACAGGTGCCCAGCTCCCTACCGACCAGGCTATTCTGGCCCTTGAAATGGTATTTTAAATTTAAAAAAAAATAACTATTGATAAAATATTTTCTTTCTTCAGAGCACATAATTTTAATGAAAACCCTACCTTTTCTTAGTTCTAAAACAGAATCTTAAAAACATAATTTATATTTTAGCAGAATTCTCCAATGGAATGAAAAAGGTCAGGGCGCTTCCTCCTTGCAGAAAAGGACACTTTGAGCTTTAGAAGGGCACTCACTTAACACCGTAAAAATTTATATGTGTATATTTCAAAAAGAAAATTTCTGCACGTTATCAAAACAAGAGAAAAATTCATAGCTTATAAAAAAATAATTAAAGTTATGCTAAAAGAAAATCTCTAAGCATAATTCTTTTTTCAAAAAAAGTAAACTTTAAATGAAATGCTTAATTGATAAATCTAATAATTTTTTCTTTTCCTAGCATAATCATCTGAAAGCTTTACTTCTATAATTTAAACTGAAAAAATGAACATTTAAAAGTGCCCTTTTTTAAAAAAAGTTTTTATTTATAAAATAATTTTAGAATTTAAATAATTTAAAAAATTCATAAGTATACCCCTTAAAAAAAGAGAAACCTATAAAAATCAAACCAGTTGAGAATAATCCTAACAAAGTGAATTTGTTAATAGTTGTATTTGTAATTGTATTTGTTATGTTATAGTTGTCAGAATTAAACCTATAAGCACAAAAGATTTTATCAGTGTGTAATTATTTTTTAAACAGTGAGTTATTTTTTTAAATTGGAATATGAGTAAAAAAGCAGTGTTTTTAAGGGATGGCAACTTATTTTTACAAAAAGGGCAAATGCACAGGGATGAAAGGGCAGGTTGGGCAGGCTGCCCTTCTAAGAACGTTTAGGGAGAATACTGTTTTTAATATTTTAAATATATTTCTCTTAAATTATTGGTATTAAAGAGAAACTGTTCTAATATAGCTTAGATTCAATGTTTATGTCAATTTATTGATGACTGAATTCCAAATTAAGAGTGGTTCAATAATCCGAGAACACTTTAGTCTCACTCACCAGCACCGCTGTGAAGAATTTTTAGATATCCAATCCTCCTGATCAGCGACCAATCATCCCCAATTTAGGGTAACGGGGTGGTGTTCTATTGATAAAATTTTTCGATTTTAGTCTGTGTTTCTTTATTATGATTATGGATCTTAGTAATTAAACTCTGTAAATTTGATCTAATTTCCCTTGAATAACTTTTTTTCCCTTCATATTTTAAGTAATTAAACAAATTATCCCAAGAAACAGAAGCAGTGAGATATTACTTGATTAAGATATGCAGATAGAAATTAATGATAGATTGAAAATATGCAGATGGAAATTAAGTGGACACGTTTAAAATGCCCCAAAAATTGACGCCCATTCTCAAGACTTTCCATACGTCTGAGAAGTCTTGAGAATGGGTGTCTGTTTTTTGAGTGCTTGAGATGTATAGACTTTTATTTCCATTTGCACATTTTTTGAAGGTAATGAAATTTTTTAATCAAGTAATGTGATGCAATTTTCTGCTTTAGTAAATATATAGTATGGGGCCTATTTGTTTAGACATAATGATACAATTTCAATTTATGTAAAGCTTCATTTGCCTTTTTTTAATTTGTTTGCGGAGATTTAAATGCTGTTGTGGTTCAATTTATTCTGTTTTATAGTTTTTTAAAGTATTTTTATTTAAAAATCTAATGGAGGTATGAGAATAGACCTGGAAAAATTTACAGTTTAGTAAAATTTTTTAATTATTGATTTTTTTTTTATTTTCTTCAAATTTATTCTATCAGATACAAACAGCCATGGTGGCTCAGGGGATAGAGTGCTCCCTTTCCAATGAGGTGAGCTGGGTTCAATTCCCAGTGATGACTGGCCCTCGAATTCTGCAACCGGCTTGCTCTGAGCACAGTGCTGACATAAAATATCCTCAGTGGTAGACGGATCTGGGCTAGAGTCCCCTTACAGTCAGCGTAGCCGTGGGATATTTTTATGGTTTTCCTCTTCATGTAACAATAATGCGACTTTGTTCCATTGCAAAGTCTTCCACAAAGGCAAATTTCTCTACATTTGATCCAGGAGCTCCCTTGTCTTCTGGTTAGGGTTCAAAATTACAAGGCTACGGACTTGAACTGTGGTAATCGTAAACCCAAAATTGGGTCAAACGGTTGAATTGGCTGTTCAACGATGAATATAAAATATCATCCACAAAAATTTTAAAATTGCTGTGGATTGATACAAATTGTGGATGTAAGGCAACACGATTAGCTCTGTATTCTTTATTGTGAAAGGGAAAAGTTTTAAAGGTTCAAACAAAGGATACTATATTAGTAAATGCTGTAGATTATTTGTATACAACAAGTGAAGTGTATTTAAAAAAATTAGCAATAAAATTGAGAAACTAGGTTAAAGATGCAGTAGTAAGTGTTAGTTGAGGGAATTTTTAGATTTTTCAACAAATTGAGGGAGCAATGCTTTTGGGGGAGAGGAGGAAGTAGCAGGTATTTTTTTAAACTTAACTTATGTTAAAAGTAGTTGTCTGGAATTGCCGTGAGCTACTGTTTTATTTTTTTTTCGTATCACACTACTTGATCTACTTTTAAGAAATAGCGTGCGACAGTATGAACTACTAAAAAAAAATGGTTACAGTATATTAGGTTACAGTATATTAGCTACATGAAGTTCACTACTTCCGACCACTGCTCGCTACAATATTTTTTATTTCTAGTTGTCTGAATTGGAACAAAAAGCGAATGATGCAGAAAGAAGAGGGGAAGAGGCACGTCAGAAGGTAAAAGCAATTATTTTATTTTTTCATGTACTGGAGTTTTAAATCTTTATTGAATTTAAGGACTAAGTTTTCTTGAGAGTTTTTATTTCAAATTAGTAAGAAAAGAAAATGCTTTGACCTATTTCGATCATACTTAATTTTTAACAAAAAATTACAAAATTCTTCCTAGCTAATAAATACATCCTAGCTAACTTCAAAAAGTTGCAAAATGTAAAATTTTGCGCATTTGATAATAAATCTGACGTAATAAACCTGACATAAATAACGCTTTAAATATTTTCTGGATGTATAACTATTGTTATACTCAAGTATAACATGATGGTATTTATTAAACAAAATGTAGTGAAACAACAGTAATAGTTAGATCTCAGTTATGTTGTGACAAAGTTACTGGAAAAAAAAGTATAGGAGTTGAGCTATTCTGCAAATCAAGCCCAGGTTTATGTTAAATTTTATCAAATCCTTTTATTTTACTGCTGGCCAACAAAGATGAAACTCTGGTAAAATTCTTCGATATTTCTGTAAAAATACAGTAGAAACTTGGTGAATCGCTTTATAAAATAAAGTAAACAAGATATCGAAACAAATTTTTTTTCTTCTGTCATTTAAAATAATTCTCATTAGCTACAACAGGCTGTTGTCATTTCTTATACAGTTGCTGGAAATGCTCATCAAATACTTTCTTTCATATTGTCCAAAACCCCCAATGTCATCTTCCTCCCTCTTCTGAAAATTAAATTACATAAAACACTTCTTACTGCTTCTGAAAAATGTATTATTTAAAACATTTAATGTTCTTCTGTTTTCCTTTTACCTAATTTTTTAAGTAAAATGTGATGTTCATCTTTTCACGGTGACATGCTTTTTCATGCTGCATTAAACATAGCTAAATGATCATATTCTTTTTTTTAAGGCTGCACTTATGGAACAAAGATTACAATCTTTAGGGGTTTCCGGAGACAGTTTTAAAGATTGTCATCAAAATCCAGATCAGTCATGTAAAGATCAAATTATCACCAATTTAGAGCAACAAGTTGAAGAACAGGTGAGTCATTTTTGTATTATACCAATTCTACATTGAAATTTTAAGCAGTTAACTTTTCCACATTTTAACTTTTGAGCTTGTATTTAGATAAAAGTACAGTTTCTGTGTGTTTTTACTTAACAGTTCGGTTTTTTGCTCACTTTAATCCAGAGAATATAAAGGGCTCCCACAAGTCAGGGAAAACCTGGAATTTTCAGAGAATTTTAATTTTACTCAGAAAAGCAGGGAATAGTTGGGGAAAGTTGAATTTTTTTTACAGAAATTTGGAAAATTCCTGCATCATTTCTGGAAAAATAACCAGTCGTATAATTGTCAGTAACAGTAATTAGTTATTGAGATTCGAGTTAAGTACATAATTCTATTATCTATTACAATTAGTTAAAAAAAACTCCGCAGTTTAGTGAAACTTTTCCATGTTTCCATCCTTATTCAATAATATTTTTTTTCTCACAAATTCTAATATTTGACTTTACAAATAAAAAAAGTTATAGTTTCCAGTGAAGAATTGAGCAGTACCGATAAGATATGGTCTGGATTTACATTGAAATTTTCCTGAAATACCTGTTTTATAAAATCGGAATTTTTTTCTAAAATTAAATGGAAACTTTGAGTAAATTTTTTTTCTTCTGGATTTTGACACCGACCTTTTAAAGCATTGAAGATTAATGTATTAAAACTGGAATAGAAGCATATTATTATTAGTAGTAATATTATTTGCATTAATATTCTATACATTATTTGTATTAAAATTATTATTAAACATCACAAAAATTAAATTAATTACTATAAAGGTGTAATGTTCTCCATTGGTGGGTAATTTAATTATAAATCTTAGTTAAAGAATTGTGAACATCTCTGAGAGATGTATTAAATAAAATAAAATTAATTAATAATAAAATAAAATTAAATTATCTCATAATTCAATGCTTTGTTAGTTTATCCTATCAGGGATTTTCGTTTAAAAAATAAGTTGATTTGAACTAATAAACCATAGTATATAGTAGAATTTTGGCAATCCAAAATACACAGTACAGTACAGAACCCATTATCCGGAAATCAGAAAACCGGAAAATCAAAAAACCGGAACGAAATTCAATAAATTTTCCCGCCGTTTTTTAAAAAAAACCATTTTTTTCCTCATAAGATTTTAGGATTTTTCTTTCTTTTTTGAAAGATGTTTACTATACCATCATTTAAGAAATAATCATTACTGTATTACTTCATCGTTTTTTCTTCTTTTTAAGATTATTTCCAAATATATATATTTTTTTAGTCGGGTTTAACAATAAAAAAAACCGCTTTTTGTAGCGATTCAGAAAACCGGAAAAATCAGTTATCCGGAAAAGCGATGGTCCCGATCGTTCCGGATAATCGGTTCCCTACTGTATTAAAAAAAAACAATATACAGTTAATTAAGTGTTTGCAAATTTTCTTTATGTTTTGCATCACGAGACATAATATTGAAAGTAAAATTTAACGCTTATAATAATTAATTTAATTATCCTTTAATCATAAAATATGTATTAGGAGCCATATTATTGAATTATTAGGGCAAATACAGCTCATATTACTCATCAGACATATCAAACACTGATATTGTGAAGAATTGATTAAAGTTGAAAATTTTTTAATTTTTAAAACAAATTCAGTGAAACATTCAGTAAAACTCAAAAAAGGTTATTCCTATTTTAAACAAGCTTGTTTGTTACTGATTTTTGAAAACTACTTCTTTAATTAATCAAAATCTATTTTTTTCTTATATTGTATTGTTACATTGTTTTTTATATATAAATTTTTTTTAAAAATTAATTTAAATCAACTTTGCAGTTATGTTATGAGTAAATATTGAAATAGATTGATCCAGCAGTGGTTTGATTCCATAATAATGTTATTTTTAATTACCTTGCATTTAAAATACCTGCCAACTCTTGATAGCTAGACTTATTAGAAATTTAATTTGAGCTATACATTATTATAACGCTATTTATAATCAATACTGAAAATATTTTACATTATATATATTCTCTTTCTCCATACACTAAATTAGAAATCNACCTGCCAACTCTTGATAGCTAGACTTATTAGAAATTTAATTTGAGCTATACATTATTATAACGCTATTTATAATCAATACTGAAAATATTTTACATTATATAGGTGTTCTCTTTCTCCATATACTAAATTAGAAATCTTTTTTAAGAATCATAATCTAAAGATATATATATATTATATAAGGAGATATAGAGAAAAATCTTCCCTAGCAGCGAAATAACTTGGGCCCTTATTGGGCCAATATTCATGAAGATTGGTTCAGTAAAGGTTTAAAGGGCCTTTATTTTTTTCATATCGGTCTTATATAAAATTTTTAGCTTCACTGACTATTTTATATCCATTATTGATTCAATGTAGGTTCTCTTTTAGCCAATGTAGGTCCTATATAGGCCCAGGGTGCGTAGTATTTTTAAAAAGTGCGTAATGGTGCTTATTTTCGGTTTTTAAAAGCCCTTAAAGGTGCTTTTTTCATTGGGTGTTTTTAAAAAGTGCTTGGTTTTCCCTTTTTCAAAATGAGATTTTTCCTTTACCATGTTAATTTTCGCTACGAATTATGCAAAAAGACATAGTTTACATTATTCTATTCAACATTTTCACAATCAATTCAACCTCGATCTTTTTGGCGTATTGTCTGTCTGTAGAGTGGGAAAACGTCATTCGTTTTACACGATTCAAAATTTCGTGATTTTTGACAATTGTCAAAAACAATGCCAGAAGGCTTTTTTTTTTTGACATGACGGTTTAAACAAGATAAAACCGTCAATTGTCAAAAGTTTCCAACCCTGCCTAGTTATGATATTTTTTTAGTGCTTAAATGGCGCTTATTTTTTGTCGAATAATTTGGCTAAGCACCCTGAGGCCATTCTAGGATCAATATTAAAAAATATAGCCTTCCCAATATTGGTCCGTCGGTGCATGTACCCATATCGAGCCAATTTTGAATCCCAAATGGAGCCAAGGTTTAAATTGTTGCTAGGGTTAATGGGTAGTTTTACTTTGCATTTATAATGTACCAACGCCTATTTTCTCTTATTTTTTACAGAAAAAATTGAGGATACTTGATGCAAAGAAAGTTGAAGCGAAGGCATCAAAAATTAAGGAATGGGTCACAAATAAGCTCAAAGAAGTAAGTTGAGCATGTTTCTTGAAATTGTTTGTAGTTGATACTTTTATGTACAAAAGTGAAAAAAAAAGGATGAAATTTTTTCAATGAAGGGTTAGATAAAGTACATTACTTGAAACTTTTGTGTTACATACTATTTTTTCTGTGTTACATACTATTTTTTCAATTTTCTGTATTTAGTTTGCTTGAACATGTCTCTCTCATTTGTGACATACATCTGAAAGTTTTTTTTATTTAAAAAAAAAAAAATTGCGTTTCACAAAACTGGCATTTTCAAACATTGTGTACTTTAAAAAAAGAAAAAGCTTGAAAAGTTCCGATTTATATTTTCATATTGTTTTAATTGTAACTTTATTAACTCCAGCCTTTTTCTGAAATGTTTATTAAAATAATTTCTAGAACAGGCTGCTTAAATTAATTAAATAATATATAGAAAGCTTCTTTAATGGAATATTTATGGCAAATAAAAATTTTATGCAATTTCTATGAGCTGTGTGTCCCTTTTGAAAGTTTTAAAATTTACTTTTTACAACAATTGAATCGAGTGTCATGTGCAAGATAAAACCAAATTGCCATACGTGTTTTTTTTAAATTATTATTAATTAAAGGAAAAATTTGGCTTATAGAGAAAGAATATTTTTATCAACATTTTTCTTTTCTTCAAAAGCAATAAAAAGGAAGTTTAAATGCTTTGTAGTAATTTTAGTTATTTTAAAAGGTATATTATTTGTACAATTATTCCAGTTGGCATTAGTAGCTTATCACATTGGAACTTGAAACACCAGAGGATGCATATATGATTTCACATATATCATTATTAGTGATAAAATACTTATGAATTTAACATTAAAATAATTTTTTATGCTACAAAACTATATGAAGCCTGTGTAAAATGCAATTTCTATACTTAAGGGTGGCAAATTTTGTTATATTTTGGAATATTTAATGACATTATAAAAAATTTTCTTCTTTCTTATTTATTTTATTGTGTGTTTAATTTTATTTTCAGCTAGAAGAACAGAACTTTCATCTTAGGGAAGAAAACAAGAAATGTAATGCGCAGCTAGATGTTTTAAAAAAGAGGCTTAGTTTAGTATCCCAGCAGAAAGAAAAAAGCAATGCTGAAGTAAATATGAATATTTGAACACAACTATTATCAAGAAAATTTTTATATTTGTTTAGAAAAAAGTAAAAATGTTGAATTGAAATAATTTATATGAATTTAAGAATATGCAGTGGAACAGTGGTTAAGGCACTGAGTTGTAAATGTTAAAAATTGTGGATTATGTATTTAGTGGGCATTGCTGATCACATTTCTACCATTGTTCAATCCCATATATTCTTGTTTCTTAATATCAATACAAAGTAAGGGTAAGAGTCAGTTCCACTTACCTTTTCTGTGGATCACCGTCTTTGGTTTCTTTTGCTAAAAAGTATTGAGATGAAGTCTTGGGGTATTATGTCAAAATCCCATTAAATGTGATTAAACATTTATTACTGCTTTTCTACAATATATAAAAAGATGATTAATATAATAAAGGATTTACAAAGTGATGAATGTTATTAACAGTTAATTGTGGCAAGTTGCATCTTATCACAAATCCAACTAACTTGTTTTTGGGGAGAAAAAGATTATGGTTTTTTTCCTCGCACAAGCAGTGCTATCTGAAGACAGTTTTTAAGATGAGGGCTTGGGGCAACTATTATGATATTAATTTCAAAGCCTTCTGGTTAGGCCTAACTGGTTTTTTACGTTTTATTTTTACATAAGCCTCTAAATAATAACTTGTTAAAGTATTTAACAACATCCTTACTTATCAGCCTTTTTCCTTTAATATTTTTTACTTATTCACATGATATGATAATTTAATACCCAACTAAAAATAAGCTGCAGAAAATTTATAAAAAAAAATTCACTTTGAAGGCAGGTTATTTGTCCAATTCCTCTACAAAATATTTGAGATCGGAGAGCTGCTTTATTACTGCAGTTTACAAACTGTAATTTTATAATAGTACCAACTTCAAAAATTGTGCAATAAATTTGTATGGATATTAGATTAATTAATGGCGCCATGTATCGTAAGCGATTGGAAATACTAGACTTTTTGTTTTAAGCATTTCTGTGGAGTCTATTCTTGCAGTCTGGGGCATCAATTGGGGAATGCAAGAGATAGGAAATTCTTCATGTGTTCAAGGAATGTTAGAAATACTGTGGTGTTTTTGCTGGGATTTGTATTCCTGTTCTGTGGAATGTGAGATTGGCCAATTAGCCCTCTCGGCTACAGCAACATGCTTATTGCTTGGAACTCTAAGTGATTTCAGAAGGTTGACCTAGTTGGTGCGGATAAAATTCTTGTTTGTTTAATCATATTAAGTGAAAACAGTTAATAAACTGTTTCTATTAACTCTTTGTATAACAGTTTGGATACAGTCTTTTTATGATTATTTTGTTGGAATAGGGTAAGATATCAATTAAATGAATTATTATTCAGCAATTAATTATAATTTTTATTTATTTATTATTATATTTTACGAGAAATTCCTAACAATGTAAATTTGCATATTTCTCCATAGTTTATAGATTTGGTATTCTTTTTTTAAATGTATAGAACGAATTTTAAAATCAAACAATTCTATAATTCTTATGCTCATTTATATTCAATTGAAAATATTATGAGCCATATTATTTTTTCAAGCACAGTTATTTTTAAACAATAAAAAAGATATATTGTTTTAAATTATCGACATCTATTTAAGACAAATTTCAAAAACAGACTGAAATTAATCAATTATGAAGGAGAGGTTTGAACCTAAGAAATCTGGGATAAAATATCCATTTTCAACTTCAGTTATGTATTCAGTTCTATTTTGATATAAATTTGTTTAAAACCCAAACTAAAAGTTTATTTTGTTTAAATAAAATAAGTGTAATTTTGGCTCTGAAATAGTTTTAGTATGAATTTAAATTAAAAAAATAAATTATTAATTTAAACTGCTCACATTTTACTATTGTATTGTTTTCACCATAACTTTGTATAAAAGCAACTTTTTAAGTAAAAAATAATTTAATAAAAATAAAATTAGTAATATATTTACTGAAATATTTTAATGCATAATTTTAAACAGATTTTAAACTAATTAAAATGTGTAAAAATCTTACTTAACAATTTTCAATGCTTCTAAATTATAAATTACTTGCAATTATGCCAAATATGTATTTCATGCGTTTTTGTTTTATAAATTTAGACTGTGTACGTTATCTACATTCTAAATATATATGTTTAGAATCCTTATTTAAATATGAAAAATTAATAGTCTAAAATTAATGTATATAATCAAAAGATAAAAAAAAAAAAAAGAAATTACAAAAAGTTGAAAGATTTATCAACAAGTAAAGTAAGATTGAAGACATCAAAATCTATTTGATTGCTGGAAAACCGGAAGCTCAGTTTTTTATCAATACAAAATAACTAGTTTTTTTGCAGATATGTCAGAAAATATACTTCTGAAACAATGACTGTATAATTACTTCAAATTTACTGCAGTATAACCAAGGATTGAAAGTTTCATTATCATTTAAATTTCTGTTTTTAAAGTGACTTCACATAAAACTGTAATAATTTTGTAGACAATAGCTAAAAATTTTTTTTAAATAAATCACAGAAAAATTACTTCACATCAGCTGCGAAATAACTGAAGTATTTTTACAGTTAGGATTGCTCAATAGAAAATCTATAGTTGACTGTAGAATAAATCCTTCAAACTGCAGGTTATTTTTAGATGGGTAAAATTTCAAATGCAATAGTTTGTTTTAATGTTGAAACTTTGAAAAATTTTCCACTAAATTCATTTTACACTAAATTTAGTGACAGATTTAGGCACTTTGTTTTGTAAATTAATGACTTTTTCAATTTAAATTAAAGGTGGTTGAAGCTTTTTCTTTAACATTTAATGTGTAGGATTTTTTTTTAAATTAAAAAATTTTAAATTCTGCTTTTTGGAATTTGACTTCTTTTTACTTTTCTTGAAACCAGTTATTCTAGATTTTACTAGATTTTCTTTTTATATACAGAAAAGATATCTACGTATTAAGGTACCAATAAAAGATATCTCCTTGAATAACTTTTTTAAATAACCGTATTTTCATACACTTAATGCCAATCATAATCGAGTAACATATTTTTTTAAAATCTAATTATGTGTATTCTTTTTTAGTTAAGTGTATTACATGATTCCAATGCGGATGATATGCTATGGCACTGTGTTATTTTAGAACTATTTCATTCACTTTAATAACCATGAATTATTTTCCCTCAGGATTCCTCCAGAGGGAGCTGGGAAGAGCAAGGTTCATCCGACGATGCTCCCCCGCACAGTTCAGTATCAAGCGCCAATCAACGTGCCAACTTCATTAATAATAATGAACCGTCCTTCAATTCTTCCTTGGTTGAGAGTAGCAAGAAGACTTCCTCCTGGGCTTCAGCTCAACAAGCTCGTGTTGATCAGTGGATAGACAGTGCTTGTCAGGCAAGACGGTCTGATTCTGAGGATGGGGATTGCCTACAGATGTTGAACTCTGAATCTATCGTGGAAGTAAGTAAATATCATGTTTTTTTTTTTCATTGCCACTTTGAACTCAGAATCTATGGTGGAAGTAAATATTATTTTTCTATTGTCACCTATTGTCAGGGTTATAAAATTCTAGTCGGCATACTTGTTAGGCAAGATGATCTGACTCTGAGGATGAGGATTGCCTCCAGATGTTGAATTCTAAAATCTATGGTGGAAGCTTATTATCATGATTTTTTTTATTATCACCTGTTGTCAGTGATATAACAAACAATAAATGTTCAGTGGGCTTGATAGGCTATGTGACTCTGAGAATAAGGATTGCCACCAGTTGTTGAATTTTGAATATATGGTAGAAGTAAATATCATGATTTTTTTTTATTGTCACGTCTATTGTCCTTATAAAAACCTTACTTGGGTGGCTTTTTATATTTTTTTTTACCCTGTGTATTTACTTGCTGTATTTTTATGATATTTGAGGTTTATCTAAAAAAATTTTAAGTAAGTTAAATCAAAATTTTTTTGAAGTCTGTTTTTTGAAGTTTCTGTTGTCACCTAAAATAATGTTTTTTATTGAATAATATGCCATTTTCATAACTGCTGTGAGTTCGCTACAATTATTCATGGTTGTTAAGTCAAATTTTACCTATCTTTAACCAGTGCCCTCTGTTCTAGTTCTATGAATGGTGAAAAATTTTAATATTAAGAAAAACTAAATTTTATGAAAATGAAAAGTGTTTGTGATTGAAAAGTGTTGAAATGAAAAGTGTAAGTGATAATTTTTTAATATTTATAAGGTTACTCCAAGGTTGCATTAGCTGGGCTCATAAGAATTTGCAAAGATTGGGAATGATAAATTGATTTAATACGCATCCAGGTTGAAAGATCTCGTTGAACCGGAGATTTATTAAAACATTTAATAACTTAAAAATTATTTAAGTTAGCTTTCCGTTCTAAAGCCCCAGATTGTATACATTTCTTAACACTAAACATGCAACAGGGTATCGGCTCACCTGGAAAGTTATTGAAAATTGTAGAAAGTCAAGGATTTTGTTCTTGATGGAAATTTGTCATGGAAATTCATGATTTTCATTGATAAACACTACAAAATCATGGAAACTTCCAGTTTGTCATGGATTTTAGCTATTGGAACCCTTAATCCTGTTGGGCGATTTGAAAATCCCGCATAGCAATTAGTATTTAAAAATTACACATCGCAATCCATATTTGTGTGATAAAAAAAAAATCACGCATACAATTTGCATCTACATGATTTAAAAGTTTAGATTTATGATCTATATTTGTGCAATTTAAAAATCATACATTGTGATCCGCATTCGTGTGATTTAAAAATCTCATCACATTCTGCATTTCTGAGATTTTTACAAATCACATCGCAATTTTACTTTTTTCATTAATTTTTTTAAAAAAATTAAGTATTTTTTCATTTTTGTTCATGCAAAAGACATGGACTATTTGCAAATTGCAAAAATACTAAAAATAAATTTTTATATCTTTAAATTTCTAACGTTTTTCTAGTTCAAGCTGTAGAATTTCTGAAAGTTTTAAAACCGTAGAAAAATACAGTTTTATGGTTTTTTATTGTGGCATTTTACTTATATATATATATATATATATAGCATAATAAATAAATACAAAAAAAAAACACGAAGAAAATTAAGAAAAACAATAAGTTTTATTTACTGCGCATAAGGTGCTAGTAAATAGAACTCATTAAATAAGTTCAAAATGTAGGGAAATCAAAGGAAAATTACAGAACAGTGAAAAAAGGGGGAAAAGAAAAATAATAAAAATAAAAATAACAAAAAACTGGAAGGAAGAAGAAAAAAAATCCGAAAAAAGGACAATTTTATTTTTTAAAAATCCGGAAAATAAATGATATAATCTTTTCATCAGCTCACATGATTATATCTGCAAAAAAGAGTGCTTTCTAATATTGTATCAATATAGCCAAAGCAAAATATATCAATACAATAGTGCAGGGCTGGCGAACTGTTATACACCAGCGTGCCATTTTTTCTAAAAAATTGTTTAATGAGGTCATAGACGTGCCGTCAAATAATTTTGACTTCGTAGTTATTGGGAAATTAATGATACTAAATACTATCAACTCAAAACTCTTTATTTACATTGAAAAAAATACATTTTGCAATGTCTCAGTTATATGCATAATTCAACTTAAAGTAACATGAGTGTGACTTCTGTTGTTGAAGATTAGATGACAAATAACTTATATTAGGTTGTAAGATGTTTGTTTAAGCAGTACTGTTAGATTTTTTTTTGCTTGTTATTTATTGTTAGCTTGTTTTTTATGGTTATTAATTGTTTTTTAGCATTAATTGTTAATTTTTTTAATTAATAATTGTTTATTATTTTGTTTGTTTTTTGTGAATTTTAATTTAATTGTTACATATGCTTCATAGTGTAATAAAATTTGTGTAATAACAACTCATAGTGTAATAACAATTGTGATCGGTGGCCCAAAATATTGTGTCTCGGGCCATAAATGGCATGCGTGCCGTTGGTTCGCCATCCCTGCATGAGGAGCACTAAAAAAATTTTAAAAAATTAATTTGAGTGCTCCTCACACTATTGTATTTATATATTTTGTTTTGGCTATATTGTTAAAATATTGGAAAGCACTCTTTTTGCGGATATAATCGTGTGAGCTGATGAAAAGATTATATCTTTTATTTTCCAGGTTTTTTTAAAATTTTTTTTTCCATTTTTTCGGATTTTTTTCTTCCAGTTTTTTGTTATTTTTNATATATATATAAAAATTTTTTAATTTCTATTGCATTTTTTATTTAAATTTGTTCATGCAAAAAAAAAGGACTGTCGCAGAGTTTAAAAAATACTATAAAATGAGAGTTCTCATTCTTAGTTCTAATTTTGTATTTAATAATGGGTTCTAATTGGATTCTTTTGTATTGAGAAATTTTTCCTTTTTCACTTATTCTAATTATGATATTAATTATCAGTTCTTTGCAATTGATTTAATATTGCTTATGGTTCTTTTTCTCCCATAGGCTGGTCTTCCTCCCATTGTTCCTCCCCACACTTCATCAATTAGTACTTTACCATTTTCACAATCATCAATATCAAGGTCAACATCTGATGTGAAAAAAACCCCTTCCAAAAAACAACATTCCCGGTCACTTCCCCGAGAAACCACTAGAAACTCTTCTTCTATGCATGTTACTAATATCCCATGTGAGTATATGCATCTAAAATTCATAGCAGATTTTTCTAATTTAATTTTTCATCTTAAAATCTGCCATTAATTTCTATTACTTAGGACAATATAGCGATAAGCCACCTTTTTTTCAAAGGAAATATTTTTCAGCTGACTGTTCCTTAATATTGTTTACAGTTAAGACTTTGCAAGTTTTCTTACAAAATAATAACACAGAAACACCTTATTGCCTGCGTGGAAATTGTAGTTTTCAGCCAAAAGCTCTCCCCTGAATAATTTGAAAATGTGGTTAATTGTTACATTATATCAGATCCTTTATTTATAATTGAAACTCATTTTTTAATTGAGAAAAAATTCTAGGATTTTAAATATAATTATGTTAAATAATGTTTTAATTGAAGTTCGATTTGGAAATTTATCCTCATGGGTAGAAATTAGCGATGAGACGGGCTCTGGAGACTAAGTGACAAAAAGATATCACTAGTCTAGACACAGTTTTAATCTATTTACTTGTCTCTATTAGGCTTTTTTTTTTTAAAAAAAATAATAATTATTGATTAAGTGAATTTAAATGAAAAATTATAAGACAGAGAATTTGTAATTTCAAAATTAGGATTTTATGGGCAAAAGACACCAACCAAAACATGAAATTAAAAATTAAGAAAATCGTCACAGAAATTTATTTCTTAAACTCAGTGAGAAATCTGATTGATATATATTTTTCTATTTTAGCTTCTAGAAATACCACCACACAAACTAATATGGAAAATGATGTAAACAATAGTAACAAGCACAACTCATACGGGAATATTTATGGCAGCTTAGATCGCAAACTCAAGATGCTGAATGTTGGAAACGGACACTCGGGTGAGAGGAGAAGAACCGTACAGACGAGTAATGATCTTCATGATTATGCTGAAATTTATACACCCAGTAAAGAAATGATTGTCGGACTGGATTCTGATATGGACATTCGACCCCCAACTCCTCCCTTGCACAGGTTCCCTTCTTGGGTAAGTTCAGATTCATGGTGAGTTTTTTCTTCAGATGAACATTGCAGGCTTTTTCCAGTAAGTCGTATTTTTTTGCATTTGTGTAGAAGAGAAATATAAACATGAATTTATTTCAAACAGAAAAAGTAATCATTTAATAAAATAATCAGTTAATTTTGTTTATTTTTTGAAGCCATTGATATTTGCATGTACATAAGTTTCAGTCGACCTATTGACATGTTGTGTAGCGTTTTTTGAAAGTGTTTAAAGGTGCTTTTTTTTTCGATTTTTGTTTTTAAAAAGTGCTTAATTTACCTTTCTGAATTAATAATTTTTTTCTTTACCGTGTTGATTTTCGCCACGTATTCTTTACCGTGTTGATTTTCGCCACGTATTATGCAAAAGTGTGGTTTTTGCATTGTTCTATTCAACGTTTTCAGAATTCATTCAAAATTTGATTTTTATTGTTCAAATATTCAATTTTCATTTATACTTAATTTCAGGAGTCAAGAATATATGAAGTTGCAATGAATGGCATATCATTATCTAGAGATGCTCTACATTCTTGTCCTATGAGTAAGTAAATTTCGTGTTTTCATGATAGTAGCCAATTTTAATACTTTTTTCAAAAAAATTCATTTTAATACATTCCGGCTTGCTTTCATCGAACTTGGGTTTAATGAAAAAATCGGAAATACTTGGAACAATGTTAAGTCTATTGAAACTTAGCTTGCTTTTAAAGTGATGACCCCAATTTTAACATACAATATTTTTATGATTTATTCCATCTCTTCTTAATTTCAGCCTCTACACCTCAGTTAATCTCTTCTTGAAAAATTTTTCTTTTAATGTTTTTGTGTCGACAAATTCCTTTTTTGATGATGTTTTTTTGGGCCATCTTCGAAGAACAGTTGCACATAAAAGAGAATAAAATAGTTCAAAGCAAATTAATTAACTCCTTTTATGTACAGAAATAAAAAATAAGTGATATTAAATAAGTAATCCTAAGAAATTTAAGCGGTTACAATGTTTTCTTTACAGAAAAAAAATGGGAGAGAATTTCTCACCCTTTCTCAAAAACAAGGTGAGATTTCTAAAAGTTTAAAAGAACACGAATAGACTTGGAAAAAAATTATTTTTTTAATTATAACATCTTATTGAATATTTTTGCTGCATCATCATATGGAAAATGTTCTATATCTACTTTTTCATCAGCTATTATATTTATTTGGCTGAAAAATATCCGTATATGTTTTGTTTCATTTTAATTTGTCCGTTATGGAGTAGAAGATGTCGCTTTAACAAGGTATCTTACATTCTTTACAAGGTATCTCCATCTTACATTCATTTACAGAAATGTAAACGTCTTGCATGAAGAAACCTTACCNTGTTTTCATTACAGAAAAAAAATGGGAGAGAATTTCTCACCCTTTCTCAAAAACAAGGTGAGATTTCTAAAAGTTTAAAAGAACACGAATAGACTTGGAAAAAAATTATTTTTTTAATTATAACATCTTATTGAATATTTTTGCTGCATCATCATATGGAAAATGTTCTATATCTACTTTTTCATCAGCTATTATATTTATTTGGCTGAAAAATATCTGTATATGTTTTGTTTTGACCGTTTCTACCGACATTTGTTTCATTTTAATTTGTCCGTTACGGAGTAGAAGATGTCGCTTTAACAAGGTATTTGTCCATCTTACATTCATTTACAGAAATGTAAACGTCTTGCATGAAGAAACCTTACCTACGATGAACACGTGGTTGCAGAGAAATGTGATCTGAAAGGGGTATCGTGGTTCGAGGTAGTGGTGTTCTGCTGTTTGCACCGGTTATGAACTATACTGGTAAATAGGGAAGCTAGATAACAAGAACCGATGTTCAAAATAATGAAAGATCAAGGAAGAAAAGTGAAACGGGTTTTATTCAAAGCGGCCAAAGACGAAATTTTTTCCAAAATTTGCGCATTTTGAAATTGATTAATAGAGTGCACGAACTTCTCGCGTTAATAATTTTTTACTGCAAGAAAAGAAAAAAATATGCGAGATTCTCGCATTCTCGCGCTATAGTGAAAACACTGGGTTAGATATTACTTGATTTTCTACCACAATCTTTGATTGTGTGACCTTTGCTACATGAGACATCAAAATCATCAATTACGAGAAATGATTAATTGCGGAACATTTTCAAATGTTGGAAATAAATTCAATTTCGATAAGCCAAAATCATTTCCACCTCAGTCATATCAGCTCATCTTGATTCCCAAGAATCTTGTGGTATTCATATGAATGCTGATTCCCTTGTGTACGACATTAGATCCTCACCATCTCTCCATAACGCATGGAAATGCATTTTACCCTGATTTTCTTTTCTCAGCCATAATTGTTTTTCTATTTTTTGTTGGCAACTTGTTTGATATCGCTTTTGTTTCTTCTCATACGTGTGTGGTAAATCTTGAAAATGGGCATCTAATTTTGAGTACCTGAAGCATGCTCACTATTATTTCCAATCTGTATATTTTTGAAGCGAATGAAGTGTTGTATATTTATAATTTGGTTGTATGTATGAACTTCTATAGTTTTTTCTGAACCCATTTTTTACAACCACTCGGTTGTGATGAGCAAATATTTAGGTCCCCTCTTGCTTTTTATGAATGAGTTTGATTGCAGTGACAAAATTTATGCTTTCAAATTTAAATCTTGCCTAGATAAGTAAGTTTTAAAAAGTAAAAAAAAATAGGTAATCATTGTGATGTTTTTTAATGCTAACAAAATAAAAATAGTTTTGCTTTTTTTGACTGTATTTTTATTGCCATTTTAGTATCCTGTATAAAATTTTCTGAAAAAAATATAAAAAATTAGCATTGATATTGTAGTTTTTCATTATAATTTAATTCAGAATTATGTTTAAAATTATAAATTTATCTCTAAAAAAGATTATTGTCTTTTTGTACTGTTCTATTTACTTACTTCATTCTTTTTACAGTTCCATCTCATAAACCTAAAAAAAATCAAGATAGTTACATGACAGACTCTTTTACTGATATGAGTATTCCAGTTTATGCCATGGTTAAGGGTGTAAGTGTCTTGCTTTTTTAATTTTACTTATTTCATTTATGAAGATTTAAATAGTTATGATGTCAACTATTGATTTATCACACTATTTAAAACTAATTTTTAATGATAAAAAAAACAGTGTGACATAGACGAAGAAAATTGAAACGGAATAACTTCATTACACTTTTCTTGTTTTCTTATATTAAAAAATAACATTGTCTTCTTATTTAATTAAAATTTTCATGAGAACTTATTAAAATTCTTTGGTTTTCTCAAATTTTGAAGTTCATAAATTGTGTCACAAGTGTATTTAACCTACTGAGCTTTACACATTTTATGTAAGCTTGTGTTTCACATTACATAGTAAGCTTTTCAAAACACAACTTTCTAGTTGAATTGTTTTGAACCTTAATTTCCATTTAAAATTAAAGGTAAAGCAGAACTATTGTTACAATTGGTTTCAAAAGTTCAAAATTGTTTTTATAATTGCTGTGAAAGTTCAAAAATGTTTCACAGAATTGCTTTGGAACCAATTAAAACTGTTGCTCTGCTTAAGAACTTTCATTTCATCATAGTTTTGAAGACCAGATCAATTAATTAATCATTGATTGGTAGAAATTTAATTTTATTTTTTGGGATGGGGTATTTGTTACAACTTTATGATAATTGTATAAATTGTTTCATTTCATTATATTCAGCAGCAGCTGGGTTATAAAACGATGTGCAATACACTACACAGTGTTTTCATCGCAGAAAAAAAATGGGTGAGAATTTCTCACCCTTTCTCAAAAACAGGGTGAGATTTCAAAAAGTTAAGAGAGATTACTAGAAATTAAAAAACAAAGACACAGAGAGACATGAAAAAAATCATTTCTTTAATTATAATACATTTTTAATATCTTCTAATTTTTAAAGCATTGAATATTTTTGCTGCATCATCACATGGAAAATGTTCTATATCTACTTTTTCATCAGCTATTCTCATAAGGTAACTCAAATGCGTATTTGTTTCGTTTTGATCGTTTCTACCCACATTTGTTTCGTTTTCATTTGTCCGTTTCGGAGTAGAAGATATTGGCTTTACAAGGTATTTGTCCATCTTGCATTAATGCGCAAAAAATTTTAACGTCTTACATGAAGAAATCTTACCTACAGTAAACACGTGGTCGCAGAGAAATGCTTTCTGAAAGAGGTTCGGAGGGATGGTGTTCTGTAGTTCTTAAAGATTCTGAACAATACTGGTAAATAGGGAAGCTAGATAATGGGGCAGATGTTGAAAATAATGAAAGATCCAGGAAGAAAAGTGAAACGGATTTTATTCTAAATGGCGCAATGAGAAATTTTTTTCAAAATGCGAGAAATTCGCGCATTTTGAAATTGGTTTATAGAATGCGCGAATTTCTCGCGGTAATTATTTTTTAATGCGAGAAAAGAAAAAAATATGCGAGATTCTCGCGCTGTAGTGAAAACACTGACTACAGTACAAGAAATTAAAAATTATGAAATATTGAGAAAGTTACTTGGGCTTTTTACTATGCTTGTGACTTATTTTTATAACAGATATATTTCAATATTCTGAATACATACTCTATGGGTTGGGTAGAAATTAAGAAAATATAGTCACTGTTTGGTAGGACCAGTAACTAAAAGATGTTACATCACTTATCATGCATTACTGGTTTGGTTACATGTCTCGATTAGATTTTATTTTTAAAAAAATAACAGAGTAAGTATTATTAATTAATTAAAATGACAGGGATCGTTCCAATATTATTTAAGTATATTTTTGGCACAATTATGAACCTCCTTTCTTTAGTCACCAAAAATAAACAATTCACAAACCCCTTTCATGCTTAGATTAGAAAGTTGCAATCCTTCCCTTGATTTTTTTCACTTCAACTTTGGCATTTACTATAGTTTTAGAATTTAATTCAGGGAAAAAGATGCAACTATACATTATATGGAGTTTTCATTTTGGAACATTTTGAGTTAAATATTCTTTAGGAATATCTTGCTTTCCTTTTGTGTTCAAAACTCTTGACCTATGAAACTCTTTGAAGAATTTTTCTTTCTAATTTTCTCTTTCTGAATTCAACTTATATTCCACATTTTAAACTTTTCCCTATGATATTTTTTGTTAAGTTTTTTATTTTGATTTTTAAGAAAATTTTGAAAATAACGGGATTTTAATGTCTCACATAAGCGTTGTTTATACCTTTTCTGCCCCCTTGTCAGCAAAATAAACAAATCACAACCCCCTTTCCTAAAAGTTGCTTACATAATATTTGAACGACCCCAGATAGAACACGTAATGTTCGCAATTATGATGAAATATGCTATTTTGTGACTTAAACAGCTTACCATCTTACTGCATCGATTGCTGCTCCGTTTGACCAGCAATCCATCTGAGCTAAATTTTAGTGGTCTTGGACCAATAGATCACTGTTAATTTCAAGACCTGCATTATAGTTTAATTGTTGTTGATAAACTTTATAAATAATTTTTTAAAAAAATCATTTAGTTTCTTGAGACAATTGTAGCAAATCGTACATATCCCCTTCTGTTTTTTTAACCGCTTTCTTAAAGTGTTGTTCTTTTCACCTAATATGTTTCTATCATAAATCTGAATTAATATTATTTTTATAGAGGGCTTCCCAAATCAGATCTGTTCCTTTTACTGGTGAATCTACAGATTCTTCAGACAATGAAGAAAATACGAGAGTCACATCTACTCACACCACTAGCGGTGAGACAGAATCTAGCGCTTCTACTGGTAGTCCAGGCAGAAATAAAAGTAGTACAAATCAGTCACCTGCAAAACACAGTTGCACTTCTCCTACAAAATCAGTTAAAAGAGGTAAATTTGCTTTTTACAAAATGTTAAGCGAATTTTAATTATTTTCGTTATTTTCAAGCTTGGTAAGGAGTCTTTTCTTCAAAATGTAGAGTTTTAAAAAACTGTTTTTTTCTACAAATTGAAGTATTAATAATTTTTTATTATAAAACATATAGAGACGAATCCCAATAATAAAAATGAATCTCTAGCGCATAGTTTTCCAACATAAACACTATCGTTTCCAGTGGACATTGAGACTTTCTAAAGTCTACTTAAACGTTTGGAGTGAATAAAAAAAAATTTATGTTACGGCTGCTTTCTTTTTAAGAAATACTTCTTAGAAAAGTTCAAATATAAAGTCATTGAACAATAGAGATTTCCAATAAATTAATGGTATGATTTAAAGTCTACTGTAACTAAAATAAAGTAAGTGGAGGTTATTTTTTTAAAATCAGTCAATAAACATTTGATAAAATTTTTTTAAGGGGTGTTGAAAAAGATATCTCTTGAAAAGTGGGCACTAAGCCAAAAAAAATAGGTTTGAAGTTTTTTTATTTTTATTATTATTTTGCTTACTCCTAATAATTTCAAAAATACATAATGTCATTCTTTGATGTTTGCTTAAAAAATTCAAGTAATTAATGAAAAAAAAATTCTTTTTTCAGATACTTCTACTGAATCTGTTTTGTCTGATGATTATGCCATTCCTCCTGATGCATATGCAGACACTTACAGCATAGATTCTGTTGAACCACCCAGATTTTCTTCTATCATAGCTGAAACCGTAAAAAGGGTAAATAAGAGATAAATAATTTTGTTAAGGTATAACTTAGTACATTACATACCTCTTTTACATTTAAACTCAAATTGACAAGTTACTCTTTATAAGACTATCCGAGATTTTTAGTATTAAATTTAGTAAATAAGACTTCATTAAACTCATCACTGTTGTTGTTTCCAGTACGACTTGCTAATAAATTTAAGCCGAAGGGTGCACTTATTGTTTTTAACTGGCACCATTAATGGTCAAGAATGGGATTTCAACCATACACATCACACCCCTTTTTACAGAGTGTCCCTAATCATTCATCTGCGACCACAGTGCTGACGTGAAATATCCTAAGTGGTAGACAGATCATGGGTTTGAGTCCCCTTGCCGTCAGGCTAACCGTGGGAGGTTCTCGTGGTCTTCCTCTCTATGTAACGCAAATGCGGGTTAGTTCCATCAAAAAGTCCTCCACAAAGGCAAATTTCTCCCAGTACTCTATCCAGGAGCTCCCTTGTTTTCTGGGTTGGGTTCAAAATTACCAGGCTACGGAGTTGAACATTAGTAGGCGTAAACCCATAAAATTGGGTCTGCTGTTCAAAGAAGGATCAATCACCAATTCAGTACTCCTAGAAGTATTGGTTATGAGAACTTGGAGGGCTTTGTGACACCGACCGATTTAGCCTGCACCAGTCACCATTTTGTACCCAGGGGAGTCTCAGGCCGGCGGGATTCGAACTACTCTTCTCACGGACATGAGTACCAACCAAACAGGGTATCCTGGCCCCAAAATCATTTTTGAAATCTCTAATCTTTAAAACTAGTAGTACAAGATTGCAACTCCATAGGAAGAACAGGGAAAATCTAAAGTACTGGGAATTTAAAAGTCACCTAAAATAACAGGGGAAATTTTAATTTTTTCAAATACAGGAAATTTTATTTCTAATTTTCTTCTTTTTAAAAATGGTGACCACTCAAAGCACAATCTATGGGATATTTTAGGATGCTGTTTCAGCTATACTAAACTATTTCATTTATTGCGACATTTGTTTTAAGTGTGTTGAGCTGTTCCTTATTTCTCTTAAATTTCTTCAACAATTAAATAAAATTAGTATAGTTAGCCCAGAGCCGGATTATACCTTTCGTAGGCCCTAGGCATTGCCATTTTTGGACCCTCCCCTCTTTTCAAAATACAGTAGAGAACCAATTATCCGGGATGCTCGGGACCATCGCTATCCCGGATATCTGAATTTCCCGGTTTTCTGGATCGACCAAAAAGTGTCGTTAATCGATGTTTTATCGAACCCGAAGTACAAGGAAAAAGTGTAATGCTTAAAGTAAGAGAAAAAAGAAAGGTACTCCTAACTTTAAAAAGAAAAAAAAATGGTAGAAATATAACATTTAAAAGAACAAAAAAATTTGCAAGTTTAGACAAGAAAATCAAGTTTAAAAAATACAAAATTCTCATATTTATTTTTTAAAAATAATTACAATTCCTAAATTAAATAATTTAAACAAAACCAATGATTAAATAACGCAATATATTTCATACCTAATTATACGGGGGAAACGATAAAATAAAAGGAAAACTTATTAATCTAAATAAAAACACTTGCAAATTATCAAACCGAAACGATAATTAAAAAAGGCACTAGTATAAATATTAAAACCCGAAACAAAGCAAAATCAACGGAGATAAAAAAAATAATAAAAAAAAAACCTAATGATAAAATTTATGAATAGAAAGAATTAATTTATTGAGTGCGAAATTTATCGCGAAAAGAAAAAAAATCAAACGTAGTGGAATCAGAAAAACAAAACTGCAATCTGCTTCATAAAATAATCCTATGTTTAAATTAATANGCAAAAAAGTAATATATTAGATCATAAGATTCTGCAAAATAATTTATTACCGAAAAATATTATATTTTTATTTGTATCTTCATAATTTTGTGCAAAATACACTTGTTGTTTTTAAAGCTAAATTATTTTTGTCAAAAAATTTTTTTCTCCCAAGTTTTTCGTAGGCCCCTGAATTTCGTAGGCCCTCGGCACGTGCCTAGTGTGCCTATAGGTTAATCCGGCCCTGAGTTAGCCTAATATTGCTCAAACATAAAAGCACAATGATTGTGTGTTCTTATTAATATATTGTGTAGAACATGCACAGGGAAATTTTTTCCCAGATTATAAATTTTTACTTGCATTTTTCTTCAACTTGTGTTTCTTTTTACCGTAGGATAATTTTGAAAAATGTGGCTACTTAACTAAATTGGGAGGAAAGTTGAAAACGTGGAGACGAAGGTGGTTTGTTTTAAAAAATGGCACACTTAGTTATTACAAGACACAGGTAAGTCCTCAGTTTTCATTTTTTTTAATAAGATATTTTAGTAAATGTTTATTAGAAATTAGCTATTTAATTGAAAAAATATAACTGCTAGTTAAAATTGTGCCATATCTGAGACATTTTTTTCAAACTTTTAAAAACAAGATTTTGGAATTAAAGAAAAATATTGTTTAGTAATATTTTTATGCAGAAAAAAAATAATTACATTGAAGAAAAAAAAACTGACAATTTTTAATGGAATTAAAAAGAAATTTCAAAATCATATTTGTATCTAAACCTAAGTTTAAATCTTCAAAAGTAATTCATTAGTTTCCTAATATTAAAACCTCAAATATGTATACAGTGGAATCCCAATTTTATGGTTTCTGACAGACTAGAGTTAGAAAAAACGTATGAAGCGGAAAAACATAAAATCCGGGTTTAAAAATATAGCCTATTTTTCTATAGAAAAAATGTGATAAGCTATCCGATAAGATAAGCCATGCGATATTCTTTATTCATCTTCATCACTATCATTGGAAAAAGAAATAGCACTTGAAATTTTACGATTTAAGCTCCCTTACTTTTTAACCACCCTTCCTCCTGTGCTTTGCACATTTAATCATCCTTCAATTTTGACTCAAGAGCAAATCCCCTTTCGTAGACAGAAGGGACAATCAGATAAAAGAAAGTCAGAACAGCTTCAAACATTAATAATAAGTAAGGCTCTCTCTTTTTTTTAAAAAAATAACTCCGAAAATGTATTAAGTGGGATTTTCTTAAATAGAGAAATGTAAAATCCGGGATTATTTAACGTATTAGGTATAGGTAATTTACACGACCTGCAAGGGCAATGTAAAAGCGGGTTTCCACTGTATAGTATATGTGCTTATACACTTCAAGTAAAGATACAGTTCTGCTCTAAGATAAACATTTGCATTGAAAACTCTTAACAAAATCTGTTATCCACTCTAAAAACAAACATTAAACTAAACTCCTGTGAAAATTACTCCAATAAGCTTATATTAATTGTTCATTGTTAGTTTAATAGAATTGTCAACGCGGTTATATCATTGTTTAATTATTGGAACTGCTAACAATTATTCCAGCTTGAGTAAAATTCTGAATTATATAATCATATTTCTATAACTCACCATTCATATCTTTATTAACTCCGAATTTCTGATAAAATTATTCATAGCTTCTAAAGAAAAGAGTTCTTTGTAAGAAAAGTATACTTTTGTTTTGAAACTTTATTAAACAAAAGAAAAAAAGAATTTTTTTAAAACTACTTTTTATATTAAGAATTTTTTTCTTATACAGTAGGGAATCGATTATCCGGAACGATCGGGACTATTGCTATTCCGGATAACTGATTTTTCCAGTTTTCTGAATCGCTACAAAAAGCCGTTTTTTTATTGTTAAACCCAACTAAAAAAATATATATATTTGGAAATAATCTTAAAAAGAAGAATAAAACGATGAAGTAATACACTAATGATTATTTCCAAAATGGTGGTAAGGTAAACATCTTTCAAAAAAGAAGGAAAAATCCTAAAATCTTATGAGGAAAAAAACGTTTTTTTTCAAAAAATGGCGGGAAAATTTATCGAATTTCGTTCCGGTTTTCAGATTTCCGGATAACGGGTTCTGTACTTTATTTTATTGCACCTTTCTTATTTCTTTTAGCTTTATAAGTGACTCTTTAACTAATCAAATTATTTCGTAAAAGTTTAAATTCAAGTAATTGAATTTAAACTTTGATTTTACATTGAAACATTAATTGAAACATTTTACGTTTGAAACATTTATTTGATTTACTTAAGCCTGTCATTCAAAGCTAAAGATAGCTGAAATGAGCCGTTAATTTTGAAAGTGGAATAAGCCTGAGGCTTTTAAGAGTTGGTGTTTGAATGAATTTAAAAATATTGGCAAATGATCAATTTAGGTGATGTTTTTAACACAATAATTTAATAAAACATCAAAATGCCACAATTATTAAAAAAGAATTAATAAACAACTTTTAAACTCTAAATGAATTCCACTTTCAACACAATACTTTTTAACACAATAATTTAATGAAACATCAAAATGCCACATTTATTTAAAAAAAAAATTAACAAACAGCTTTTAAACTTTAAATGAATTCCACTTTCAACACAATACTTTTTAACACAATAATTTAATAAAACATCAAAATGCCACAATTATTAAAAAAAAAAAAAATTAATAAACAGCTTTTAATCTCTAAATGAATTCCACTTTCAAAAATGCCAGCTTAAATTATAAATTTTTTTGCTGGATTTCTTTTTCTTTAGATTTGTTATTGATTAAAAAATTATTACAACTAAAATTATATAGCAAGTTTTTAACAAATAAAGTTCTTTTGCTAAGGAAAAATTTTGTTGCTGTGGAACTTGGAAACGGTGTGTAATATGTTCGTAGAGATAATTTTTTAATCTAGCAGGAAATTATCATATTCCATAACTTGATTTTTATGAATCTACAGTAGGGGAGCACAACCTTTTTGAGTGAAGGGCCACTTGCACAGCAGGTTGGCTAACGAAGGGCCGCACATGTATTGAGACATGTTAATGACAAATGTAGTAATGTTTATTTAACATTAGCGTTCTATTTTTTTATCAATAAACTTTCTAATATATTTGTAAAAAATTAAAGGTGTTCATTTTTAGAATTCATTCAAAAATAAAGAAACTTATACTTTTTTTTTACAAAAAAAATTGCTATTTTTATCATATGAACAATAGATNTGAAGAATCTGTTATAATTGATTGTGCCAAAATGTGATGACTTAAAAGTGCGATTAAAAATTGCCATTTTTTAAACTTCTTTTATTGTGTTTAGAAGTTCTCGCGGGCTGCACTTCAGTAGTCGAAGGGCCGCATTTGGCCCGCGGGCCGCAGGTTGTGCACCCCTAATCTACAGTCAATACTAGATATATCGACCCATGTGTTCCAAATAAAATTTTCACTGTATCGTGAGCATGAAAACTATAGCAAATATTTACTCAGAAATCATAAATACTAGACTTATTTTGGCAAAAGCATTTTCTTGTTTACTTCAACTTCATTTAAAATGTTTAACTTTTGAACTGTAAGCAAAGTTAAAATCAAGAAGAATGTGTTGTTGTTGTTGCATATCTCCGTTGTTTGGCAATGACAGATCAGGAAAATTAAAGAAAAATAATGCAAAATTTTGGTTAGAATGAAGTTAATTTTGGCCATAAACTCTTTAATGGTCACACAATATTAATGAAAACGGTCATAAAAGTGTCTACTTTTTTTTTCCTCCAAGGAACTTTATAAAATTAAATGTATTCAGAAGATTGCTGATGTGGTATTTAAAATAATTTATCTCTAAACGCTAAACAAATAATCCAAAGAAACTGTTAATTATAAATAGCAAATAACAGTAGACATACTTAAAGTGCTTCAAAAATTGATGCCCATTTTCAAGACTTACTAGATGTGAAAGATTCGAAAATAGATGCCTGTTTTTGAAGGGCTAGAAACACTGTTATTTACTATTTATATATTTTTGAAGCAAGTGTAGTTTTTAATTGGGTAATATCTTTAAACATATGACATAGTCTGATACTACCATCAGTACTAATTGAGAAATAAACATGATTCCAGACATAAAAATAGATTGCTTTAATCTTTTTGGCCTTTTACTTTTGAACATTCCAACCCAGAAATATCACTCGCGCAATAAATAGACCACGTCACTTTCGTCATCTTGATGGGAGTAAGAAGGAAGGGCTTTCCTCAATGGAATGGCAAGCGGAACTACTTGTACTGGTCGTTATAATGAAAATGTCACAGTAATGGGGGTTGTTCTATAGAGCATAAAAAAGTGTATAAGATATAAACAATGAATAGCATGATTTATTTTATTTATTTTTTATAAATGAAGTGGTTAATTTATTTCTTCTGCAGAATGATGTTGGTAGGAAACCTCAAGGCCAAATCATGTTGGATGATGTATCCAGAGTAAATAGAGCAGACGGTGGAACATTTGAGGTAAATATCAACACTTTTTGCTCACTATGTAAAGCCCCTGCTTTTATTTTAAATAATTATTTTAGACTTTTATTTAAGACAAACTGTAAAATTTTAAAATTAGTTAGATTATGTATGCCAGATTAATTATTTGTACATAAATTGTAAAAACAAATTGCTCCCTTTATAATTGGTTGTCAAGATAGTGTGAAAGATCAGAAGGAAAATAAAAACATGTTAAGAGTATTGAAGAGTATTATTGTCAACCAGTCTGGAAATCGTAAAGTTTCTCTCTTTGCCTGTTAATATCGATTATATATATAAATGCCAAAAGCCTCAAGGCATTTCATAAGAGAACATGCATCCATAACAGAATTTCTCCTACATAGTACACAATTAGGAGACAAAAAGATGTTAAATCTGAATAAATGTTCTGCAAGACAATAGCGCTCAGTCTCTAACTGGATCTGAATCTAGACGATCTTCAAGCTGGCACGAAATATGAAGTTTGCAACTCATATTTAATGTTCGTATAATGCTAATTATGGAAAGGCCAGCTTGGTTGCACCTCAGTACTGTCACAAATGCTCATGGTAAAGACGCATAGGTTTTTCTAAGATAAATTGTTCAAGTAATATAAAATATGCTTTTGGCTTTGTAATATATTCCACATTATTCTCATCACTAGCAAAATTTATAAATTTGTTTATTTTTACCTTTATTCATTTTTGTGTTCAATTCTTATAATAGATTGCCACTTCTAAAAGAACATACTACCTAACTGCTGATTCTAACTCCACAATGGAAGATTGGATTAGAGGTACTGATTTTTATTTTATTTATAATTAATTACTTAATGTTCATTTGATCTTATGGAAATATATCTGGTAAGCTGATTTAAAGAAATATCTAATCTTAGATTTGAAAAAGAATTTTTGATTAAATTTTGATTTCAGATTAATTTTTTAACTTTGTAGAATCTAACTTTCACCATTTTATTGATATGATAAAACTTTTTTATGAAAATTTTCCTCATTCTAATATTAATAACGCTTTCTGGTTTCAGTTTTGCAAAACGTTATTAGGCGGAATACTACTCAGTTAGCTTTAAATAAAGATGATAATAAACCTTCAATTCAAGGTTGGGTTACTAAGGTAAAAAGAATCTATTGTTTATACTAAGTTTACAACACTCAAAACATTTTCCTGAAATGTTTGTCAATTCCCTTTAGGTTAAACATGGCCACTCAAAGAAATGCTGGTGCTCTCTGGTCGGAAGAATGTTTTTATATTATAAAACTCCAAATGATTCGGTAAGCTTTATTTGAGATTTAAGATCTCTTATTTCAATTATTTTTCTTGCAAAAAGTAAAATTCACATGGTAAATTCAAAGTTATATTTAACAGTTTGTATTATCTTGAAAAAGCAATGCTTAGAATTTCTTAAACATTTTCATGTAGAAGCCCTTGGGTCAAATAAATATGCGTGATGCAAGAGTGGAAGAAGTTTTGCACGTATCTGATAGTGATGAGGACGACCAAGATGATTCAATGGTCAAATCCGAGTATACAATCGGCATTTTTCCAAATCATCAAGGACCAACGTATCTCATCATGCCAGGAAAACAGGAGATGGTAATGAAATAATGTGTGCTTATAAAAATTGCATTTGTTAGTATGATTGCATTTGTTTCTTACTTTTGCTACTTATTTAGGATACCTGGTTGTATCATCTTACTATAGTATCATGTGGAGACAACTTAGTAGGTACCCAATATGAGCAGTTAGTTGCTAGATTAATGGAAGTAGATGGTGAAGAGAGTAAGTTATATTTATAATATTTATCCAAATTAATTTACTAAAAATAAGCTACGTCAATTGACCCCACATAATGGCCAAGTCTCCCAAATGATCCTCTTTTGTTCCCCCAAATCTGTTTTTTAAAGTTTTTTTTACTCCTCTTTTTAATATTTTGGTTCATTTAGTCCTTTATTATCCTAGTTATTTTAAATTTACTGTTAATATAGAAGTTTATTGATTTTTATCATTTCTGTTTAACTTTCAAGGTGTAATTTGTATTGCAAAATTTAGTTTTTCATTTACAATTTTATTTTCTTCATTAACAATTTTTCTGCAAATCTTTTATCACAATTCATGTTAACGATGTGATTGACCCATTTTTATTTCACATGCTGTTTAAATCAAATTTTTTTTATAATATTAATAATTGCCTGATTTACAAATTACAAATCTCAATTTAATTTGGACTTACAAGTGACACTTGTGATCCTCGAGTATCCGCATTTCATAGACAAAAATTTTTAAATCAAACATCGTATGCACGCAATTTAAAATAATTACATGGTAATTTGTATTCATGTCATTTAGAAATCACCTGTGATTTTTATTCATGCAATTTTAAAATCAAACATTGTGATTCGTGTTCACGTTATTTAAAAGTCACAAATCACGATTTGTATGTATGTGATTTAAAAATAAAACAATGTGATTCGTATTTAAAAAATCAAACATCGATATTCATATTCACGCTGTTCAAAAATTACACATCACAATTTATTTACATAATTTCAAAATAAAACATCTCCATATTTACATTATTTCAAAATAAAATATGATTCGTATTCACACGATAAAAATTACACATCACTATTCGTATTAAATATTCGTAACACGTTTTTAAAATGTAACTTAACTATGTAACTTAAAAACCACTTATCACGATTTTATATTCACTCGATATAAAAATCATGGCCATTTGAGTACTATGGCTATATTAGAAAATTTTGGCCATTTATTAAAGATTTTATGAGGGTCTTTAACTAACTATAGCAGAAATTTGTATTGAGTGCTCATCAAAACTCATTGATATTTCAGTTTGGTATTGAAAAATTATTTATGTTTCTAACTTACCCATATAATATTTATTATTAAAATTGTTATCTTATTTAAATTAGTTATGTTATTAATATTGTTTTGTTTTTTTAAGTTTTTAACCAAAATATTTAAGATCTTGTTTACTTTTCTCTCCTTTTTAACTGATTTTATGAAAAAAGTTTTGAATATATTTCTTAGTTAATTTATGTTTCCCTTTGCTTCTGATTCAAAAGGATATTAGAAATATAATTAACTTCTGATATCTTAATGTTTACTTAGTAATTAGTGGGCAGTGATTAAAAAATGGTTAGGAATTTATGATCTAAAGGTTTAATTAATCTATTTAATAAATTCATTGAAATTTGTATTATATTTTTTATAAAAAATATTTTGACCAATTTTGAATGTTTAATTTTAATATCACTCTCTTATATTGGTTAGAAAAAATATTTCAATTGATTTTGAGTGTTTAATTATGATATCACTCTCTCGATAAATATTTTTTCAGAATTTTTGGATTAAGTTCTTATCATTCTGTTTAGGAATCTTGTATGGTATTATTCTAGTAACTGACCATCAAATGATCAGAAAAGTACTGTTGTGAAACAGGTGCTGTTCGTTGGAGTAAAGATCTTGTATATGATATGCTTTAGTTTTTCAATATAACTTTTCGAACAAAAAGATAAATTTGAAACATGGAAATTGAACACTCATTGAAATTACAAAGAAATTCTTGAAACTTTGAAGCAAAGAAGCTTTGAATTACAAAGAAGCATTCAATAACTAAAAAAGAAGATAATATTTCTTAAATAACTAGGACACTTTATGTATTTTTACTTATAGTTTATACATAGGCTTAGGTACTTTTTAGTTTATTTTTTATTGTTTATAATTGATGTAATTTAATCCTTTTTCAGATAATGTCATCTGGAAACATCCCTTACTTTTATACTCAAAGGAGAGTTTGACACAGCCATTGACTAGTCTGCCGTCCGAACAACTTCAAGCTGAGGCTGTTAAGCTTTTTAAGGTAGCAATTTAAAATTTTTACAGTTAAAATTAAGTGTAAGTTACATGTGGATGTTACTTATCAGTGAAGTTTATGACTATTATACTTTGAATTTCAATGCATTTATGTTAAATTAACTTCTAAGTATATCCTAAACAAGCCACATATGGTAACTAGTTAAGCTAATCTACTGTTTCATCAAGCGAAATTAAATTCTATTTCCCCTTTTTTTCATGAATAAAAAGAACTTAAGATCGAAGATAACTAAACTAACTAAAGATACGAACTAAAGATAGAGTTCAAAAGAAAACCTGGAATTTTCCAGGAATTTTGGCCAAAAAATAGTCAGGGATTTAGACATAGTTTGCATATTTAATTCTGCCATAAACTCTGGGCTGCCAACTACTGCGTAAGAGTGGTAGACAGTTAAACACTTTGCATGCCAACATTTTGCAAGTGTCAGCATGAGAGAGCTGGAACAAAATGGTTTGTATTATAAACTTTTGAATCATTCACATGCAGTGGTGTGGAGAATTTTTTTATATCAAATTTACTAAACAAAGAATTATACATTAAAACATAAACTTATCTACCACTTGAAGAAATTTTCTTTAAAAGAGTAGAAAGTTGGCAGCCCTGCAAACTTGGGAGATTTATTTATCTTAAAATTCATGATAGCAATATCAATATGTTCTTAATGAGGTTCAAAGTAAATAGATCTATAACATCATCGATTGCATATATTTTGTACAAAAAGTCTACTGAATCAAGGTTAAATTTTCTTAGATTTAAATTTTCTTAAGTAACTTTTTGGTTTGATTTTTTTTTAATGTTTGTTACTAATATAAATATTTACAATTCGAAAATGTTTTTCACTAAGCTGATAATAAATACTTTGATATTTATTTTACATTTTAAAAATTTATCTTTTGGTTTCTGACACGCCAATATTCTTTTTATACACTCCTAATCTAAGTCTCTTTTGTTGCTGTGCATTTTTGCTAGAGAAACTAGTTTCCCTAGAGAAACATAGCAACCAGTAGGTACCCTAAATGTTTCTCATTCTCTTGACGTAATTTAATTAATATTGTGATTTATTTTTCCCCTAACACTATATTAAAAAATTTGCAATATTTCAAAAAAGATGCCCTATAGTATATCTTTATCGAATATTAAAAAGAATAATAATAATTTTTATGCAAAATTAGTAAGCTAATCTTGATAAAATTTTTTTCTTTTTTCAGTCCATCCAGCTGTTCATTTCAGTGCCTCTTGATGCATCGGGCATCGATTATCATGTTGCTCTGGCCCAAAATGCCTTGCACCAGTGCCTAACGCAATCTGAACTGCAAAATGAACTTCTATGTCAGCTGATGAAGCAAACATCACGCCATTCTTATCACAAACCTGGCGTTCAGGTACCTCATTTTCTATTATCTCATTTGTACAAAATTCTGCAAGTAGTACTATAGAACCAAAAACTACTAGTACTAAATGCATAGTACTGAAACGTTACCAAATATTATATTATTTTTTAGCAATATTTTAATTTTTATTTAAAGATAGTAACATCTTGAGAAAATGTTACTGGAAATTTACATGCTCAATAATCATTAAGTTCTTATTTTTCAGTTTACTGTTACGTATAGGCTACGAGTTTATTTTTTTAACGTTTTAATAACCCTGTAACTGAAAAATTTTTGCGGTAAAAGAAATGAAGTGTTAAATATAGATTTTGATGTTTGATTTAGGCATGACGTTGAATTAATGAGACATACATTTGTATTGGATTAAAAAGTTGACCGTTACATTGATTCTTTAGAAATGAATAAAATATTTATCTTTGCTTTTTATAAAATGCAATAAAAATTAAATAATTGGTTTCAATCAAATTGGATTAAGAATGATTAAAATAATTAAAATTCATGAAATTAAAGAAATTTGTTAAAAGTTGGAAAATATGTAATGCCTATTATGGCATCACAATATCAAAGTAGTATAGTTTAGATATACCTGGTGTAATATTTGTTTGCTTTAAATGTTTACAGCAATTGCTTCTTTGTGCTACCCAGTCATTGTTCTTGTGTGACTCTTCTGAAAAGCTGTCTCCTACCTCAACCACATCACATGATCGCATCCCACCTCCTGAAAGCAAACTTAACCCACCGCCATTTGTCTTTGTCCAAAGCTGGCAGCTACTAGCTTTAGCACTTTCACTCTTTGTACCTAAAAATAGGACATTATGGTATCTAAGAATGCACTTAGCAAGAAATTCAGATCCTAAGTAAGTTTTATTATCTTATGTGCAGTTATGTTGTCTTATGTGCAGTGCATTTTAGAACATATATATATATATATATCTGCTCACCTGGAACGTCATGAGAAATCATGGAAAGTCATGAATTTTGGTATTAGACGAAATTTGTCATGAAATGTCATGATTTTAACTATTTTTAAAAAAAATATCATTGAAAGTCATGGATTTAGGTCGCCAAAAAATCAAATTTTTAAAATTTAATTTACCCCCCCAATTTCGTGGTGTTCCAAATATCAGAATTTATAGCAAAATCCTCACTCACAAACATATTTATTAAAATATAAAATGTTTTTATCATGTTCCTTAAAAATTGTGGTGTTCTTTCAAAAAATGAAAGAAAAAACATAATTTCTAGAGTGAATTATCTCTTATACTTCTGTGATTTCGGAATTTTTGTTATAATTTATTTTTTAATTTTATCAATTTAAAATTCTAGCTGAGGCAAACTAGTCGAATTTTTTAAAATTTTGTAATAAGAACAGAAAAATCAGGAGTATTTCTTTCCTTTCCGATAAACAAGAAAAGTATCTTTAAAATGTAATTCTGCAGAAAAAAAAGAGAAAAAAAATATTTGCTTTTGTATTTATTTTTAGTTATTTTATTACTTCAACTCTTCCTTAACTCTGTTTTTTAATTCTAAAATCTATAAATATGAAGATGCAGGGTATAACAGAGTATCATTTCAATGAATGTTATTATCATGCTTTTTTAAATTTATTGTTGTGTTTTTGTCGGAGAAAATAGTAACTTCATTAAGTCATGAAAAATTCTGGGAATAAGTCATGGAAATTCATGAATTTGAAATTCTAAAATGTAGCAGATACCCTGTATATATGTATACATATACAGCTAAGAGCTTCAAATTATTAGCCAGTAAATTTGCCAAAGGCAAGTCTTAGCAATTTTTTATGATTGATTTTTTCCCCATAGTAAACTTAAATCAAATTACAAATTTACAAAAAATTCAATTATTTTGTGTAATGCAAATTCAAATTTAGAATACTTTGTAGTTTGGGAGGAGTAAATAAGCAATGAATAAAAGAGAGGATGAAAAATAGAGATGTTGTTTATCATCTTTGAGGGGGGAGGGGGAAATCGGAATAGTTTGGGGTTGATTTTTTTTTAGCTTCTAAGACTAGAGCAGGATAAATCTGAAGTGACATTATGTTATTTTCACAATATTGTATATGTTATTGTCTCGAGGACACATAATTTCTGCAAAAATAGTTGGATGATAAAATGCATCTTGCTACCACTTAATCTGTTTTATTGACACAAGCTGCAGGGGGAAATGTTTGTTATTCAGCAATGAACATGGTGGTTTGCATTTTACCGTAGTTTGTCTCATGCTTGCTTACTTATTGCTAATATTATCTGGACTTAATATAATTCTAATTGAATATGGGACGTATCTAATGGAAATTACAGTAATCGAATCAAATGAAAAAATACAGGATTAGTTCAGAAAACTTCTCTTTGGCCTTCTTTTCCAGATCCAGGGTATTGTGTATTTTTCTTTTCGGTAGAAAAAATCATTCGTCAATACTTTTGCCCGAAACAAAATTTTTGGTGAAGTGGCGAATGATTAGCATGAGCCCCGTATATTGGAAGTTTTGCAATTACTGCCCTTAATATATATATTTAGAATCCTAGTAAAGAAAAGTTGAATCATAGTACAAGTTGGGGGTTGTAATTTAATATTTAAGTGGGGGAAAATGAAAAAGCACTATCAAAATTTGACATCTCTATTGTAAAAGGCAGGATTGCAATATATCAAAATGTGTAAAATTGTGGAAGAAACAGAGAAGATAAAAAAATATGTATACTTTCAGGTTTAAACTGATACTGCAATGGATTTTGATGTTTTTCAATCTTACCTTTGTACAGTATTTTGCCACATTTTTATTGTATGACATAAATTAATATAAATTTTTGTCACACACTCTTGCTTAAATATTAATTTTTAATCCCTGATGTTCCAATCTCTCTTTTCAACTTTATTTTTGACTTGGATTCTAAAAATATTAATCAAGCAGAGAAATAGAATAAATTTTAACCCCTTATGCTTCATATTTAAGTTAGTTAATTTCAAGTTTGAAAAAAATCTTTAGGGACTTGTTGCTAAGCACAAAATATATGATTTCATCTTTATCAAATTAAATAGTTAAATGTATAATAATTGCTTATTGCTGTTTTTCTTTCTTTATTTTCTTTCTTTATTTATTTATTTATTTTTTTTTTGTACAAAATTATGATTTAAAATGTTTCAGATGATGTTGAATGAAAATAAGTTATTATATTGAATGAAATTACAGGGATGTGAACACTTCTGAACTAACTGTATAGAAATATCCTTTCTTATAAGCTTTCTTGTAGCTGCAAATGTTTCTGAATGTTTTACGCAGAAAAATTACTATACCATTTTTTTAAAAGATCGTGATAAAAACTTTATATGGTGTTGATTTGTTTATAGGGGAGAATTTTTTTTTTTAGAGTTTGGTTTAATTTTACCTACAAGACCAAAATTAATCTGTTTTAATAGCTGCCTTAAGTCTAGTTTATTGCTAATTTTTATGCAACGGAAATACCCCCCCCCCATTATAAATTTTTATATTTATCCTGACTATGATTTTTGTTTTGCTAAGCATGTAAGCGGAATCACTATGCTATGAGGTGTTATTGAAAATTGTTTTAATTTATTAATGATTTATATTTAATTTTTTTGTTTCTACCTATCTAGGACAGAATCTGGAAAGTATGCCATTTTCTGTCAACGGACGTTAGAAAGGACTTTATTAAATGGAGGAAGGGAGAGTAAACCTTCTAGAATGGAAGTTCTTAGCATTCTTTTAAAAAATCCCTATCATCATTCTCTTCCTCATAGCATTCCAGTACATTTTCTAAATGGTACCTACCAGGTGAGTGTTACTTTTTGACATTTTTTAAGTCACTTCAAATATGTTTTATGTTTTTTATCACAAAAAAAAAAAATCATTCCCACAACAACCTATTATAGGAGGTTAAGCCCACTATTCCATGGCTAACCATATAATTGGGGCAATGTCGTCAGCATTGCATACTTTAATTCATAGATAAGCTGGTACCTATCCATCTAAAGCTAGGTGGGCTTTGAGCTGCCACTTGAAATAAAATATTAATTCTTTACAATAACAATTCACTGCCTTAACCACTGAGTTATTGCCTTCACAAAGTTTGATGTTTTTCTGGTCAGAAGTCTTTTCTCAGTTATGAATGTTCTAGTTACTTGTATTGTTTTTATAATATAATATTGAGTTTTTCTTTGTGCAGATTTTTTAAAAATTTGTATAGTTTTTTCAACAAAAAAAAGTCATTAAGAAAAAACAAAAAATTCTACAATTTTGAAATATAATACAGCTATTACGTTATAATGCTGTGAATAAGCAAACAACTTCTGTAAGACAAGATGTAAGCATAAATAATATTTTAAAATTTGAAAAAAAAAAATTAAAAAAATCTCTTTTTGCAATAGTGCTTTCATGAACTACAGTACCAACAACAAGTTCAATAAGAAAAGGCTACATTCTTTTTTAAAACATCTGCAAAATGGTTTGTTTGCACTAAATAAAAATTAAATTTTAATGTAGCAATGAAAAATAAATAGGAATTATGTGGTAAATGTCGTGGGGAGAAAATTTACAAAATTTAAAGTTTTTAGAACTATACTGTATTTTTAAAGCTGCAAAAAATATTGGTGAGTATGATAAATGTGGTGTATTAAATGTATGTTTTCTATTCAGGTTGTTGGGTTTGATGGCTCAACTACTGTTGAAGAATTCATTCAGACTGTTAATGAAGAGGCCGGGATAAGAGATTCTACCCACTCTGGATTTGCTCTTTTTAGTGATGACCCCATCGACAAAACGCTCGAACACTGCCTTCTAAGTACTGCTAAAGTAAGTTCTAGTTTTTATTTATTTATTTTGATACTTATCAAGGGTTTCAATATGTGGGTGAGTAAAAACTGAATTTTGAAATGTAATGAAAAATTGTAATGATTTATGAAAAATAAAAATTTTGTTACACTTAAGAGACCTCTATCCCTACCATCTTGGATTTTAAGTTAATTTTTTAATTAATTTTTTTTTTGATATTTTTTGCTCTTTACTTGTGATAGTATAGTATCACAGTACGACACCTTTCACAAAATGTAGAAAATAAAGTGGTGGCTTTATTAGATTAAGGCGAAATTGCTCTTGATAACTTTTAGAACTTCTATAAATTTTTCCTCAAAACTTTAAGTAATAAAACTACGTAATTTGTGGTTTTAAGTAAGCAATTTAAAACAATTATAGTTATAGTTTAAACTGATAAATCCGATTACATAAAAACAAAGATATTTATATAAAAACAAGCAACTGTCAACTGTTTAACTACCTATCATAAACTGTTGATTGCAGAATTGTATTCGCGAAATTTGTTGGAAAGCATTTATAGATCATCCAAAATGCCTCACCCTTTTTTTTAAATCCCAAATTGCGATTGGGCGGAGGCCCTGTATATTATATGTATCAAAAGATACAGCCGTATAGAGTAAATATGCATCACTAGTTTGTGATAAATAAATAAAAAGGTTTAGAAGCATATTTAGAATTTTTCTCCCCCCCCCTCCCAGACATCCACTCAGATGGCACAAGGGCCTTTTAAAAATGTATTCTTAAAAAATCACCCAAGAGTATAATAAAGCTCCATTTTTTTTTAAATATTTTTAAAATTTAGTTATGTTGTTATATTGTTATATTCTAATAAATTTGCTGTAGTAAACCTCTTACTATTTTCCATTTAAAAAAGTTCAAAAAATGAAATCTAAATTTAGTTACTCTTAAAAGTGCATTCTAGGCACTCCCAATGGTAGTTTTTACTTAAAACTCACTACAATAAATAAAAATGTACTTGTATTTTTTTCACTTTAAAAAAAATTACAGAAATAAAAATTCAGCTAAGCATAAAGGAGTATTTTATATTGTCTGTTATGGTATTTTTATTCAAATTTTATTTAATTTTGTTATCTAAAAAAAATTTTTTTTGTACATTTAAAAAGACATTCTTAAAAAAACCATTCTAAAAGTCAAGGAAACATTTTTCCCATTAAAAAACATTGAAATTCATTTTTGTCAGTCTTCGCATGGCAAATGCTGTTTTTTACTGTAAAAAATTTGCAGTAAAAAATAAAATATTTAGTTACAAATAAAAGGACACTGAAGTTTACATGCCCAACACTGTTTTCACTTTTAAAAAATACCTATGGAATAAAAAAGCAGCTACATATACACAGTTCATAAAAATAAAAATTGCGTGTTTGTTTTAAAACAAATAAGTTTAAAATTAATTGAAATGGTCATTTCATGTGTTAATTGAACATTGTTTTACTACTTTGAAACTTGACTGGACTTGGCGGCATTTGCTACATACCACCTTACATTAATATATATATATATATATAATATATACAGTAGGGAACCGATTATCCGGAACGATCGGGACCATCGCTATTCCGGATAACTGATTTTTCCGGTTTTCTGGATCGCTACAAAAAGCCGTTTTTTTTTATTGTTAAACCCAACTAAAAAAATAATATTTGGAAATAATCTTAAAAAGAAGAAAAAACGATGAAGTAATACACTAATGATTATTTCCAAAATAATGGTAAGGTAAACATCTTTCAAAAAAGAAAGAAAAATACTAAAATCTTATGAGGAAAAAACATTATTTTTTTAAAGAAATGGCAGGAAAATTTACCTAATTTCGTTCCGGTTTTTTGGTTTTCCGGTTTTCTGATTTCCGGATAACGGGTTCTGTACTGTATTATGTATGTATTTAATATTAGTCAAGATCTATAATTAAATTATTGTATAATCTTTATTGATGGCAATATTTTTATTTTGATATTCTTTAAATTATCTCTTTTTTTTCCAGCTCTGTGATGTAATATCCAAATGGGAACAAGCTCTTAGAGAAAAACATTTAGGAAAATTTGAGAGTACTAAAGTTGTAAAGCTTACTTATAAAAATAGGTATTTCATTTTTATTAAATTATTATTTTTATTATGTATCATATTAATTGTAATATAGCTTAAATAAGTTTTTAAATTAGTTTTAATAAAGTTATTATTTTAGCTCATGATACTTTCATTTATTAATAAGAGATAGAATGTAGAAAATTTTTGTTAATTACGAAGTTAAATATTGCAATACACATAATGTTATCTGAAGAAATATATTTAGAGACTAATTTTACTTTTTTAAGTATTTTTGAGGGGTTAATTTTAAAATAGAGCAGTGACATTCAAGCAGATATTTATGTTTGCAAATTACAACAAAGATTATTTTATTTACATAAATTATTCAAATTAAACATACTAGAATTATTGCTTGATTAATTAACCTATAAACAACCAACGCAAAGTACTGCTCGGTTCGGTACGCTATACTAGAAAAACAACTTACAGGTTGAGCATACTCAGATTTAGCAGAACGTCAATTGAACTAAGTTAACAGCTCATATCCGTAAAAAGCAAAGTTACAGTCAGGAACCATGTGAACAACTCTACATGGATTGCTGGGTACACTACTTCTTGCCAATCGCCATTTTATACTTTCTTTCTATATCAAAATATGTTAGCAGATTTACTTACATAAATGATATAGATGTATTCTCAAAGAATAATCTTAATTAATTAGTACAGTGCTGTTTACCAATAGTGTAAAAATACTGAACAAACCAACGATTAAAAAGAAGAAAAAAAACATAAAACTTTTCTTCTTCCCCTCAACGCTTCCCCATTCTGAGTATTGGTTAGTTGGAGAGGAGGGTGCAAACCCTGTTGTGCCCCTAAATGTTGCTTTTTCTTTTATACACAGGGACCACACCTAAACTCGAAAAAACTGGGTATCCGCGCACCTGAAAAGTCATGAAAAATCATGGAAAGTCATGAATTTCAGTATTGAACAAAATTTGTCATGAAATGTCATGATTTTTGCTATTTTTTTTAAAAAATCATGGAAAGTCATGAATTTAGGTCTCCCAGTGTTACAAGTGCTGCGCTGATTCGTGCCAATTTTGGAAATCTGCGCCTACATGCTCCAAATTGAACTAGTAGGCTTAAATTGCCCCTATCTGCGCCAAAAGGGATATTTTTTCCTGGGTATCGCCAAGTTACAATTTTGCGGCAACCAAGCTACTGCCATGTGATGGGTTGCTCTGGATTCAGTGGGAAGGATTCNTTTTCTTTTTTTTTTCAGGGATGTATTATAAATGTATTATGGATGTATCAGGAATGTATTATGAATGAAAAAGGAAGTTTGTGCTATACATTTTAATCCTTAAAATTTTAAAAAGGAGTTTATTTTCAGTATTTGTTAAAAGATAAATAAATGATCAAATATAACATTTGCCATAATACTGACATCCTTACTTTTTGAAACTAGCAAACGTAAGGAGTTTATTCCACAAATGTAGTCACAATGTCAAAACCCAAAGATGATTGTGCCCCTGAAAAAATCCTGATCTCTAGATTTTTTGATTAGAGATCAAGTTAACTTATGCTTAATTATTCATTTAAATTATGTTACATATAATTTATTTAGAATTTCATGTTTTAAAAATATCAATGACTTAAATTTATAAAGATATTAATTTTTTGAAATGCGTCATTAATGATTTTACTCAGGAAATTTTCAGGATTTTTAAGTTGGGCTCACGATCACTCCTGAAACACCTAAATGATACAATTTAGCTGTTTACATAAAGTTTTAACAAGATGTATCTGAATTTTTTTTTTTTTTACATATTTGTGCCAAAAATTAACCTTTCCCATAAATAATTCTTATTGGAGCAATTTTAATTGTCTTAAAGTTAGAATAAATTAGGAGTCAGCAGACTGTTAATGTTGATTAAATTCACAAACTATAATTTGAATTGAATGCTATAACTCTACAATTTAGCCAACTGTTTCGTTTCTTTTTATAACAAAGATGAACATAGAAGGGTTTGAAGTTTGTCATATTTGCAAAGTTAGATTGGCTTTTTGCATTAAATGTGACTGTAAGGTGTCTTCACCTCTGTCTATTTAATTTTTTCATACTTCAGAGGAAATACTAATAAATATTGAATTATTATTTGAAAAGTAAATATTTTTAACTTTTTTCTGTTTCTTTTCAAATTATAACTAATAAAACTTTTTTTTTTTTGAATTATCAGGCAACTACTAGAAAATATAAAGGAAAAGTGGTCTAGTTTGCGAGGACGTAGTGTGATGGACTGTGTTAGAATATACTTAAATTGTGCAAGACGATGGTCTTTGTGTGGTGCCAAACTTTTTAGTGCCAAGGTAAGATTTACACCAAATTGATATCTCTAAAATTTTACAAAGTACATTCGTATTATTTTTGGAAATCTATCTGTAAAATTGTATTATCAATTTAATCCTTATCACTGTTTATTTCAGAAAACTCATTTTTCCATTAGCTAACATAAATTTCATGTTTAAAACAATACTAACCATAGCAAAGGGAAGAGGGGATATATGGTTCATCAGGGTGTATAAACCATGGTAATCAATACACCGTTGTGATTTAATGTGAATCTTGCACTTAAGTGCCACAGCTGAATATTCTTTCTACCCATATACTTTATTAAAGGCACTTCTTTGGGAAAGGGACAGGAGGCAGTGAACTGGGTAATTACCATACAGGTGGTGCTATGGATGCCCATACTTCATAACTATATTCACAAAAGATAAACTTTTATTCATTAACATTAATCAGGGCTTCCCCAGGTCAAGGAATATCTGGAATTTTTTGGGAATTTTATTTTAATTCTATAAAATGAGAAATAGTCTGAGAAAGTCTCAATTTTTTACAAAAACATTGGAAAATTCCTATATTTTAACTGAAAAATAACCAGTCTCGGAATTATCAATTACAGTAATCAATCATTGAGATTCGGGTTAAATAATTCTAACATCTATTACAATTATTTTATAAAACTCCGCTTTTTAGTAAAACTTGTTTTCATGTTTCCATTCTCATTTTATTGTATTATGTTTTTTGCTCACAAAATCTAACATTTGATGTCACAAATAAAAAAAATCAAAGTTTGCTGATGAAAAATAGCATGGTATGGATTTTCATTGAAATTTACCTGATATACTTGGAAAAGTCAGGAAATTTCTTTTGTCTGAAATTGAGTGAGAACCCTGTTAATTTATTTACCAAGTTAAATGATTTTTGGTTCGATAATTTTGATTAAGGTAGGAAATAGTTAGTACATATTAATCCAATTAGTAACATTATAATTTTTGTATTTATTTTAGCAGAAATGTTTGCTCATTTTCACAAAGTTTCTTGTGAGGAAAAAAATTAAGATTAATTTTAGTAATAAGCAGTTTGTTATTAAAATTTTTAAAAAAAACTCTTACATGTGCACTAAAATGCATATCATTAACAATAATTTTTCAAAGGTGCATTCAGATAGTTAATTTACGATCATTCCTCTTTTGTTAATCAGTTATTTACTGCCCTGGACACCTTATGTGTTCAAATACTTCTCTAACCATTTAACAAAGATACAAATCCCTCCTGTGTGTCAAACACAGTCTTCTTTTAATTTCCCTTCACTATGCACCTTCCCACTTATTGACTAAATATATTTTTTTGTTCTTTCCTTTGCAAAGTTAAAAGAGCTCTGGTTTCATTCAGAATATTTGGACCATACAGGACACACACACACAATAAATGAAAGTTTAGTGCTGATAAATTGTTCGCCTGAGAACGTTTTATCACATTATATATATCTCTAGATCTAGTGGGATTTTTAATGGTAGTTTGTAACATTAAAACCAGCAAATTGTCCTGAGATTTTTTTCACGGGACATAGCTCAAAATGCATAAAAATAGGTACAGCTCAAAATGGACGCAACAAAATATACCTTTTCAATATTCCTCTCAAATTTAACAACTAAGCAAAGAATTCCATACTTACTTTTTTAAACGCTTAGCATAATCATCATGGGACAAAGTGGCTAGGGACCTTGGGATTGGTGTGGCTAGGAGTCTTAAAGACGTAACTTTTGTATTCAGAACTATAAAATAAATGATAAAATGGTTTTTAAAAATCTGAAATTCCTAAACATAAATGTACTCCCACTAGTGAAAATTTTTAAGACGTGTGACAACCTTTTAAAAACGATTGTCGACTAAGTTTATAAAAAAGACTTGAAATATTGTTTTAAATAAATGATTTATGCAAATGGGAGACATATAATGAATTTATTTGGTTTCACATGTTATTTTTTTAAAAAAGGAAGTAAAGAAGAATAAAAAACTGAATTGAATGCTGTGTCTATTTTCTAAAATATACATTTTGAGCTATGTCTAGGATATATATTATATTCAGAAAATATGTATTAATATGGTGATTTCANTGATTACCGCGAGAAATTCGCGCATTCTATAAACCAATTTCAAAATTCTCGCATTTTGAAAAAAAATTCTCATTTGCGCCATTTAGAATAAAATTCGTTTCACATTTCTTCCTGGATCTTTTATTATTTTCAACATCTGCCCCATTATCTAGCTTCCCTATTTACCAGTATTGTTCAGAACCTTAAAGAACAACAGAACACCATCCTTCCGAACCACGTAACCTCTTTCAGAATGCATTTCTCTGCAACCACGTGTTTACCGTAGGTTAGGTTTCTTCATGTAAGACGTTCAAATTTTTTGCTCGTTAATGTAAGATGGACAAATACCTTGTAAAGCCAATATCTTCTACTTCGAAACGGACAAATGAAAATGAAACAAATGTGGATAGAACGATCAAAACGAAACAAATACGCATTTGAGCAACCTAATGAGAATAGCTGATGAAAAAGTAGATGTAGAACATTTTCCATATGATGATGCAACAAAAATATTCAATACTTTAAAAATTAGAAGATGTTAAAAATGCATTCTAATTAAAGAAATGATTTTTTTTCAAGTCTCTTTGTGTGTTTTTTTTTTTTTTTTAATTTTTGAAATCTCACTTAACTTTTTGAAATATCACCCTGTTTTTGAGAAAGGGTAAGAAATTCTCACCCATTTTTTTTCTGAGATGAAAACACTGTGTCAACCAATACACCGTTGCGATTTAATGTGAATCTTGTTCTAAAGTGCCACAGCTGAATATTCTTTCTACCCATATACTTTATTAAAGGCACTTCTTTGGGAAAGGGACAGCAGGCAGTGAACCGGGTAATTACCATACAGGTGGTGCTATGGATGTCCATACTTCAAAACTGTATTCACAAAAGATAAACTTTTATTCATTAACATTAATCAGGGCTTCCCCAGGTCAGGGAATATCTGGAATTTTATTTTAATTCTATAAAGCGAGGAATAGTCAGGGAAAGTCTCAATTTTTTACAAAAGCATTGGAAAATTCCTATATTTTGACTGAAAAATAACCAGTCTTGGAACATAATAATAGTACAGAATAAATAACAGTAATCAGTCATTGAGATTCGGGTTAAATAATTCTAACATCTATTACAATTATTTTATAAAATTCCACTTTTTAGTAAAACTTGTTTTCATGTTTCCATTCTCATTTTATTGTATTATGTTTTTTGCTCACAAAATCTAACATTTGATGTCACAAATAAGAAAAATCAAAGTTTACTGATGAAAAATAGCATGGTATGGATTTTCATTGAAATTTACCTGATATACTTGGAAAAGTCAGGAAATTTTTTTTGTCTGAAATTGAGTGAGAACCCTGTTAATTATTTACCAAGTTAAATGATGAAAAATAGCAGTTAAAAAAATGATGAAGCAGTTAGTTAAATGATGAAAAAAAATAGCATGAAAAATAGTAAGTTTACTGATGAAAAATATCATGGTATGGATTTTCATTGAAATTTACCTGATATACTTGGAAAAGTCAGGAAATTTTTTTTGTTTGAAATTGAGTGAGAACCCTGTTAATTATTTACCAAGTTAAATGATTTTTGGTTCGACAATTTTGATTAAGGTAGGAAATAGTTAGCACATATTAATCAGTTAGTAACATTATAATTTTTGTATTTATTTTTGCAGAAATGTTTGCTCATTTTCACATAGTTTCTTGTGAAGAAAAAAATTAAGATTAATTTTAGTAATAAGCAGTTTGTTATTAAAATTTTAAAAAAACTCTTTCATGTGCACTAAAATGCATATCATTAACAATAATTTTTCAAAGGTGCATTCAGATAGTTAATTTACGATCATTCCTCATTTGTTAATCAGTTATTTACTGCCCTGGACACCTTATGTGTTCAAATACTTCTTTTACCATTTAACAAAGATACAAATCCCTCCTGTGTGTCAAACACAGTCTTCTATTAATTTCCCTTCACTATGCACCTTCCCACTTATTGACTAAATATATTTTTTTGTTCTTTCCTTTGCAGAGTTAAAAGAGCTCTGCTTTCATTCAGAATATTTGGACCATACAGGACACACACACACAATCAATGAAAGTTTAGTGCTGATAAATTGTTCGCCTGAGAACATTTTATCACATTATATATATCTCTAGATCTAGTGGGATTTTTAATGGTAGTTTGTAACATTAAAACCAGCAAATTGTCCTGAGTTTTTTTACACGGGACTGTAAGAGTTTAATAAAAAATATTATTTGGTGTGTATAAAGTAAAGGTTATTTATGTATTGTTATTAAAATGGGTGGATTGCATAATTGGATGTATCTCGATATAGTCATGATAAAAATAGGTAAATGATTGAAATGTCATGATAAATAAATTAAAGGCCGAAACATATAAAAGATAATTAAATTAAATTAATTGGGATGTGATCGTTAAGGAAAGTGGTAGTACAATGCTAATGTGGGATAACAATAACCCAATAGGTTCAAAGGGTCACAAAGGGTGAGATTTGAACAAATTGGATAATTTGGACAAATTGGATAATCACCAAATTTGGAAAAGGGGCGAAACTAAAAATAAATTTAAGATTAAAGATAAAAACGATAAAGTCATGCTATATCCAAACAATATATGTGATTTAATACAGTAAGCTGATGTTTCCAATAAGAAAAACTAATAAATTCACATTTATGCATGCCCATAACAATAATTGAAAGGTACTCACCCTGTACACACAGGACATTTTAAAAGACAACCATCAAAAGAAACACACATTTTTAACTTGCGTTTAAGATTTATTTAAGAAAAATATCTAACAACATAACTATTGGAAAGACGTCTTTAAAACAATTTTTAACATTAGGAACACCTTTAATAGAAATGGGTGACGAAAGAAAAAACACTGAAGGCGTCATAGATAAAAGTAAATTATAAAAGAACAAGTAATTTAAAAATTAAAATAAATATGGAAAGAAAGCTTAAATTCGAGAAGTTTTTTTTTAATGCTAAGGAAAATTAAAGGTATAAAATGTTGATTTTAAATTTACAGAAATTGATTGCAGCTATGGATTTAATTTAAAATAAAGGTTAAGAAAAAAAATGGGAAAAGAAATCCCTCGATACGGACCGAAGTCTGCATCTCGGAGAATAAAAAAAAAAGGAACTTGCCCGAAGGCTCGAGAAAAAGAGAATGTATCCAAAAAGACTTAAAAAAATTCCTTAACTCGGGTAGACCAGAAAAATTACGGCCAATTAAATTTAAAGAAGCGGAGAGTTTGAAATTTAAAGGAAAGAGATTGGTTAGTTAGCCCCCCTAAAATTAAAAGAAGAAAAAGAAAGGCATGAATAGAGGGGTTGGTTGACTTTCCCCACAGGAAGTGCGATGACCGCAATGACCATGAGAAAGGTCAACAAGAAAGTTAAAATTGCTAAAATTGAAAAAAAGGAATAACGTTTAAAGAAAAATTAAAGGCTTAGGTACAATTAGAAATTAAATTGTCACATTACATTAAGTGTAAATGTGACAGGGACATAGCTCAAAATGCATAAAAATAGGTACAGCTTAAAATGGACGCAACAAAATATACCTTTTCAATATTCCTCTCAAATTTAACAACTAAACAAAGAATTCCATACTTACTTTTTTAAACACTTAACATAATCATCATTGGGCAAAGTCCCAGACCTTGGGATTGGTGTGGCTAGGAATCTTAAAGACGTAACTTTTGTGTTCAGAACTATAAATGATAAAATGGTTTTTAAAAATCTGAAATTCCTAAACATAAATGTACTCCCACTAGTGAAAATTTTTAAGACGTGTGACAACCTTTTAAAAACGATTGTCGACTAAGTTTATAAAAAAGACTTGAAATATTGTTTTAAATAAATGATTTATGCAAATGGGAGACATATAATGAATTTATTTGGTTTCACATGTTATTTTTTTAAAAAAGGAAGTAAAGAAGAATAAAAAACTGAATTGAATGCTGTGTCTATTTTCTAAAATATACATTTTGAGCTATGTCTAGGATATATATTATATTCAGAAAATATGTATTAATATGGTGATTTCAACTGCAATCAATAGTAGATATTTTAAACTAATTGAATCAACTTACTTGACCTACTGTCATCAGGTTACAACAATGGTTGTTTTTTAAATTTCTTCCGATACTAAAAGTTTTTTTGTATTCTGACATTATTTGTAAGTTGAGTAGAACTAACTGCTTTAATTAATTGTGTTTTAGTTATCATATCTTATATTTATAATTTTTCAGACTCAATTGAAACAAGTTGACTCATCATCTGTGTGGCTAGCTGTTTCTGAAGATTGTATAACATTATTAGATTTCACTACAATGGTAAGCAGTAAAACAGTCAATTGTCTTATCGAGAGCATAGAAATAAATAGGGTTATTTGTACCCTACAAAAGACAAAATATGGTAGTGAAACTATTTTATATCTAGCGCGTTTTCGAGAGAAATAAAGAACTCAAACTAATTAAAAGTTGTAACGTATATACAAGAATGTTTCCTTTGGTAAAAAATAGCATAATAAATCTTGCAAATCAGACATTTATTTCCTGCAAAAACAAACTAGAAATTAAACAGCTTTACTTTTAGTTATTTCTATTTTCTGGGATGAAAACGGCCCTGAATAAAGTACTTGGATCCTGAAATTGCTCTATTCAAATTAAGATTATTATTAGAATAAATTCATAAGAAAAATGAGAACTGTTTAAAAAATTTCCCTAAGCTTTTTGATATAAATGATGATGTATAAGTCAATTAGACATTTAAACTTAAGTATTTATTGAAAGATCCTAAAATAATCTAATGACAATTTAATGATTTTTAAGCATTCAATAATTCAACTTAAATAAGAAATTTAAATTCTGTTAATGTGATGCATTAAAAGTTTCTTGGTATTGTGCATATGTCTTAAATATGGGTAAAGTAACTGCTATTTTTGATATAAAATAAATAAATTTTATAATTTATTTGTGGTCTAAATGTTTTTTTATATTTATTTCTCTCATTCAGCAACCCATAGTTCGCTATCCTTATGGCGTAGTTGTTACCTTCGGTGGATGTAAAGAGGATTTTATGCTGGTCGTGTGCCAGACAACAGTTGACCAAAAAACGTCAGGAGAAGGTATTCAGGTGACTGAGCGCCTCCTCTTCTCCATGCCTAAACCAAAGGTAAACTTATGGTTCATTTAAGAAGTTATATATCAGCTTGTAAAACAAAGTTTCCCGCGACAGCTAATATTGTTTGTGCATATAGTTCGCGTTGGGCTTGTTCTTGTTGGAATTAACTTGACTGATTAGTCAGATGTTCTCTTTTATTACGCTTTTTCCTAACTCACCATAAGGTAAAATTAAAGTTAAAAGTTATGTCATCTTTCTATAGGAATAACATACCCTTTGTATAACTTATTGAAGGAGAAGGATGTATACAACTAAACTTGTTACTGTTTTTTCATTATCCAGGATGTCCAGGGTATTACGAATCGATTCATGACGCAACTGTATTATGTATTTATACCTAGGATGTTGTGATATCATGGCTAGTGTTCATATTATTGTTTATTACGACAAGGTTCGGTGAGCTGGCTCGTTTAATTTTTCAAGATGTTGTAAAGTTTCCTGGAAAACTTTGTGCATCGGCTTGCTTTTCTTCCTCACAGTCATTTGTAAATAGTTATTTTTGTACTGAGTACAAAATAAATGATTGTTGAAACTGCAAGCAGGTCTTCTTATTGCTTCTTCGTCACTGTTCTTAAATAACTTTGCATCCAGCCTAAGAGTGCTCATATTTTGTGACAGTTTTGGCATTTAGAAAGAATGACTTGCCTAAGGTCACTGTGTTGTGAAATATGTTAAAATAATAATAATAATAAGTACAGGGTTTTCTTTCTTTCGTATTATAAATCAGTTTTGACTTTATAAATGTTCTATTTATCATAATGTATGTTATGCTATGTTCTGTTTATCCTCTAAATTTAATATTTTCTTATTTTAAAAAAAAATTTAAAACCTAAAGAAATTCATGTCAGGATAACATGTTTAATACAGGGTTGCCACAGGCGACTAAAATGCAACTGTTTTCAGCATGAGACGACTATGGCAACTTTTTATGCCTGAAAAGGCTGAAAAAGCAGGAGACTTTTCCATACTCCTAGCGATGTTTTTTTAGCATAAATTTGGTTGAAAACCTGGGATCTCTGAGCACACTGAATTTCTTTCCTTAAAAAATAATTTTAAAAATTTTGAATTTGACTAACGTTTATGTAAAAATTATCGTATTTGCAACCAACTTGACTAAATGAATCATGGTACATGACAGTTAAGTCATTTCATAAAATTTTAGTCTCATTTTGCTGAATTTTGTTTAGGCAACTATTTTCATAGTTTTCGGCAACTTTTTTCGTGCTCTAGGCTACTAAAAGCAACTATTTTGTTCATTTTTTTCTGTGGCAACCCTGTTTAATATTATTTTATGATGACTCTTAATATGCTTAATTTTATCATTTGTATTTTGCTTCAAAGTATAAAATGCAATATAAAAAGCATTTTAATATACAGGTTTTCTAAAAATCCAAAATTTATGCATTAAGAAGCTATATTTAGAGACTAAAATTTTTCTCATTTTAGTGAACAACAAACTAATATGTTTTAATCATTTAACCCTTTAACTTATCTGTTATCTTGGGCTGAGTTATCATGGGCTTTTTAAGTCAAGGAGTTAATTGAATGTAGCATATTTTTTTGACCATGTCTTCAATATTAAATATCTGAATTTCATTTAAAAGGAATTTTTCGTTCTAGCATTTTTATGCAAAAATTATCCTTTTTGAATGATTGCATATTTTTTTTTTTTAAATTGAATAAAATGGTACAAAAAAATTTCTAGAAATTTTTTTTCTATGAAATTTAGTTCATACTCATCCAAAAAAAAAAAAAAAATAAAGTTTTTTTAAATAGGCCAACCAGCTCAATTTGAATTTCCATAAAAGAAATATTATAGCTAACTTACAATAACTATTGTTCAAATACATTAAATATCAGAATTCAA